TGTTAATAAATCAGATGATTGGTATGAGACATTAACAGGTGAATGCGGTGTTGAAAAATTTAAACTTGATACGGGAGCGGATATCAATGTTCTATCCTATAAGAGATTTTTGTTGTTAGGATATGATGTTAATATATTAGATGTTACGAGTAATGTTAAGCTACAATCTTACAGCGGCAATATTATTCCAATAAAAGGAATATGTTATTTAAAGTGGTGGTACAAAAATAAGTTATTTGTATTGAAGTTTGCCATAGCTAGTATTAACTGTCAGAGTGTTTTAGGTAGAAATGCGTGTGTTAAATTAGGTTTGATTAAGCGTATGCATGATATAAATTTGTTAAATTATAATAACTTATTTTCTGGCATTGGCTGTCTTCCTGGAATATATAGTATTGTGGTTAACAAGTCTGTGAACCCTGTAGTAAGTGCGCCACGTAAAATTCCCTTTAGTTTGCGTGACAAGTTACTTGACGAACTGAATAGAATGATGGATCTCGGTGTGATTAGGAAAGTTAACCATCCAACTTCATGGGTAAATGCATTAGTGATTGTAGCTAAAAAAAAATGGTGGTATTAGATTATGTCTCGATCCCCGGCCACTAAATTGTGCAATACAACGGGCGCACTTTCAATTGCCAACTGTTAATGAGTTAGCTACAAAGCTATACGGCGCACAATATTTTTCTGTTTTAGACGCCAATTCTGGTTTTTGGGCAATTAAGATAGACAAAAAAAGTGCGGATTTGTGTACTTTTAGTACTCCGTTTGGGCGATACCAATTTTTAAGATTACCGTATGGTTTAAATTGTGCGGCTGAAGTCTTTCATTCGACACTTAAACAATTGTTAGAAGATTTAGAGGGGGAGTAGATGTTTTTATTGACGATATTATTTGTTGGGGTAAAAACAAAAATGAACATGATCAGCGATTGACTGCTTTATTAAACAGAGCCCAAGAAATTAATCTTAAGTTTAACAAAGAAAAATGTAAAATTTGTGTGGAGGAAGTAATTATTTAGGACATGTTTTCAATAAACACGGTATGAAACCGGATGACTGTAAAGTAGAGGCTATAAAAAATATGCCTACGCCGAATAATAAAAAGGCGTTAGAGAGGTTTTTGGGTGCTACGAATTACTTATCAAAGTTTATTCCAAATTATTCAAATCATACAGTTCATCTTACTCAATTGCTTAAAAAAGAATCTTCGTGGTATTGGGATGATACTCACGATAGAGCATTGCAAAGATTAAAAGAACTAGTTAGCAGTGCCCCAGTGTTGGCACTATTTGACGTTACGCGGCCGGTTGTTGTCTCTGTAGATGCCAGCAGCGTCGCGCTTGGTGCCGTGCTCATGCAAGACGGTCGTCCGATCGAATATGCTTCGCGAACGCTCACTGATACACAGACTAGGTATGCTCAAATAGAAAAAGAGCTGCTTGCTATTGTATATGCATGTGAAAAATTTCACCAATACATATTTGGAAAAAAATCTGTAATTATAGAAACGGACCACAAACCATTAGAGAGTATTTTCAAAAAAGCTTTGGTTTCCAACCCAGTACGTTTGCAGCGAATGTTACTGCGCTTACAAGGTTATGATTTAATTATTAAGTATGTTCCAGGAAAGTTAATGTTTATTGCTGACACTTTATCACGTGCGCCCCTTCCCGAGTGCTATGAAAATGAATTAGATGATAAATTAATATATGAAGTAAATCTTATGATCGAACATATTCCCATGTCTGCTAATAAATATAATTTAGTGCGAAATGAAACTAAAAAAGATAAAGAATTGAGCCAACTTTGTGAATATATTTTAAAAGGATGGCCGGAGCGTAAAGTTGATGTATGTGATAACATTAAACCTTATTGGTCGTTGAGAGATGAATTAGTTGTTGTGGACGGTATTTTGTTTAAAAATAAATTGATATTGATTCCTTATTCTCTAAGGTTAAAAATGTTAAGTATAATTCATGATGGTCATTTTGGAATAGAACGTTGTAAGCGACGTGCCCGTGAGGTTTTATTCTGGCCTGGAATTACTAAAGATATTGAGAATTACATTAAGAGATGTAGGGTATGTCAGGAAAACTCAAACGCTCAAAGTAGAGAACCTTTAATACCTATACAGATTCCGCGATTGCCGTGGAATAAAGTGGGTACTGATATATTTGAATATAGAAAAAAATATTATTTAATTTTGGTCGATTATTACTCTGGATTCATAGAAGTCAGTGATTTGAAAAATATCTCTTCAATCTCGGTCATAACAGCATTAAAAGAGAATTTTGGTAGGTATGGTATTCCAGAAACTTTAATTAGTGATAACGGGACGCAGTTTTCTAGTGGTGATTTCAAAAAATTTGCTCTTGAATGGGGATTTAAACATGTCACGTCATCTCCTAATTTTCCTCAATCTAACGGAAAGAGTGAGCGAGCGGTACAAACAGTAAAAAAAATGTTAATTAAGTCTATTAATAGTAATACTGATTTTTACTTAAATTTACTAACTTATAGAAATACACCACGTGATAATAATTTGAGTTCTCCGGCACAATTGTTAATGGGGAGAAGACTAAACTGTAGATTACCAATTCACCCTAAATTATTAAAACCGAAGACAGTTAGTACAAGTGAATATGAATATTTAGAAAATAAACAGTTAAAAAGTAAAATGTATTATGATAAACATTGTAAAAAGTTACCGGAATTAGATTTAGGAGATAATGTATTAATTCAACATAATAGCCATCAAAGTAGGGGTCGAGTTATATCCAAAGCGTCAACACCACGTTCTTACGTAGTTCAAAATGAAGTAGGCAGGACTTACCGCCGTAATCGCCGGCATTTAAAAAAATGTCAAAGCGAAATTAAACATGATATAGAACCTTGTGTTCTTCAGGATCCTATTTCAAATGCCCTCAATAATTCTAACAACTGTTATTCAAATAAGAAAGGTCGAGAAAAGAATGATAAACCTATTTCTCCTCCCTTGACCAGAAAAAGAGCAAAATTAATGCAAAAATAATATTAATTGTACTTTATTTCATTTTTTTTTGTTTCATCATTTTTATATTGTATTTGTTTATCTTATTTTCAGGGAAAGGGTGTATCTGTAATAGATTATAAGTTATTTTGTTTTTTGAATTTTGTTATTGTCACTTACTTTTTGTTTTTATGGGGAAGATGTTGAGGGTATTATAAAATAAAGTAGTTGTCATCCTACAAGGCGTTTCAATAACACAACACCGGTCGGATGATTAATGTAAAATTCTTGGGGTGAACTATTTCCCTGTGTAGCCAACATGAGGTCATTATACAAAGCGGTCTCATCTCTTTTATCCGAAATGTTATTGATTATCGCGTTTTTAATGCTATCCCAATTCTCGGATATGCCGTTTGAATTAATTATTCGTGCGGCTGGCCCAGTAATCTTATTTAAAACACCATTTATTACATAAAGTTTTGCTAAATCACTGTTTGGATTCGCGGATGTATATTCTCCTATACATATACAATCTGGTCGCATAAATGGATGAACCTAGGCAAGACATGTGGGTTACCGTCGAACTCTGGTACTAGCCGTAAAGCTTTAAGGATAAGGTCGACGTCTACCATATTGAAAAATTTATTGTTTAACGGATATACTAAGGAGTTATCAGAACTACCAAAATCTACGCTAATATTCCTACGACTATCTAATTCGAGTCTACGAGATATTCTGACACTTGCGGGCTCACTAGGTGTGGATTTCTTAGGATAAAAATTAGCTACCTCGAGACGTCTCGAGTATCCTACCGACTGCGCCAATTATAGATGTCGCTGGCAGAGGCCTCAAAAAAAAAACAATTTGCTTTAACTTATTTAATAGGACTTAAAATTTAAACTTAGAACTAAACTATAGCTAGCCTAACCTAAGTCTGATTCCGATCGATGCTAGATCAAGAATGACTGTCTTACTAATATGAATCGTTAACCAAAGTTCTTGAATACGATAAGCAGCGGTGTCGACTGGCGACGTTTCTATGGACGTCAGCTATATTGGAAGTCGTGGGGCATAGCGGTGTCGCCTGACAACGCTCCCTCGAACGTGAGTGCGGCCTGGATGTGTAATCCAATCGTGAGATTGTGTTGCGATGTTGCGAAGAAGACACTGCTTAATTGCATTTTTCTATGGTAACGGATATGTAACGCGATATACAGATTTTCTTTACACTTTTTGCATGGGTACCGTGGTTACCTAGTGGCGGGGTACATAATATTATTTTCATGGTACTATAGTACCCAATGACTTTCTTGGTGTTATATTGTTTCCGTTTCGTCACAATCAGCTATTTTTTAATTGGTGTGGTATTGTTAATAATATTGTATAAGGGATTGATGTTATGCGACTAAACGATCGTTTGCCGCCTATGCAAAGTAAAGCACTTGAAAAAAATAGAAAAACGTTAAAAAATAAAAGTTTGAATAAATAGTATAAATGCAGTTTTATTTTAAAATCCTAATGACAATCATCATTAATTCTATTTAGGTGACGCTGAGGCCCTTAACTACCGCCGCTAGTAGTAGTTCGTTAATTGGTTGTATGAATAGAAGATTCCCGTCTGATGCATAGGACTAGTATCAACTATCATCATAATAGTCTGTGTATTATTATATCTGTCTGACTGTCTGACAGTCTGTGGCTCTGTGCCTGAGCTTGATTGATGGTGCGACTTTTGTGTATAAACGCAGTGATAACATTCCCTCTGATATACATATTTAACATTCATAAAATCATCCTCTTTATCATTTCATTATAAAAGTTAGGCAAAAATAAACAACCAGAAGTGCTCATTGGCGTATTCATTGAAAACCGCCAAAAAAAAAGAAAAGAGGAAGAAGAAGAACATTCCCTCTGTGTATATTTTGATAAATAGATGATTTTGCTGTTTATCTAAATAAAATGAAATAAAATAAAAAAATATCGTAACTGCGACCTATGTAGATATTAATATGGAGTGTACTCAAAGACTTGACTGTTTAACACAAGAGTTAAATGGGAGTTCGCAGGAAAGAACTTTACATGAACAGGTCAAACAGCAGTTTAATTTATTTTACTATTGCTTTAATTTTTTACACTGCCTAATTTTCTTATTAGTATCATTCGTCATTTACCGATAAATTTGTAGAAATGGTATTTATTTGAAGAACGATGAAAAGATAAATGCTTAGAAAGGGAGATGTTGATTCGGAGATGTTGTAGTTTTTAATGAGTTGAGGAGAATGTGAACATTTTTTTCACTTATTGTGCATCTGTATTTTACATGAAGTTTATTCATCATATGAGCAAACTTAGTGATAATGTTTTATTTATAAATTTCCAGATCGGATTCCTAGGAATATGTGGTACAAAATATCCAGTTATCAAAGGTCCCAACAAAGTAGGAAGGGATCCACAGACATGCAATATAGTTTTAGATTTGAATGTAGGTATACTATGTATTTCATTCATTTATAAATTGTATGAAAATTCACATTCTGTTAGCCTATTAGACAAATCAAATCAATCAATTGCTTGTGATGATACTGTAGCATGTTGATGAATTTACTATGGTATGGTATAGAAAGAGTAAAAGAAATGAAAGAGTATAAAAGTTGCTCATTAGAATTTTTTTTTATAGTGCTAATCTCTGGACTTAAGATTGAACATTAAAATTTGTAGAAAAGTACGGGTTTGTTTCCCACAAAGGTGACAATCTTTTTGTACTTTTTCTACAAATTTTAAAGTTGTTCATATCCTAGGTTGATAAGTATTTGGTTGTAGTACAAACTTCATCACTTGTTTATATAATGCTAACTAGCTAAACTAAAAATTATTGATATTTATTATTAATCATTGTGGCTTTCCATAGTTTGAGTTTCTTTTTGAGCCAAGGTGAAGATTCAATTTATTCGCTTAGACTAGTTGATCATGTGGCTTTTTGCAATGTAATTTATTTTCTGAACCAATCTAAAGTATTTTATCTATGCACATAGTATTTTATCTATGAACGATTGTGGATTTTGTGAGTTTATTACTAATTTGCACTATAGTTAAATCAATCTGCCACTTTGACTAGTTACATTATGATAAATGACATTGGTTAGTTTAGCTCTTTAGAAATGTTGTTGTGTGCAGATATGCTAAAAAAATATTAGAAATATATTTAGTGTTTTTAAAGCCTCAGATGCAATGTTTTGCCACAGAGTGTACTGTAAGGAAATATAACTGTCAGTACACTTATGTCAAATATACCAAAATGTTAGATTGGTAAGCAATTGTACCGACAACATTTTTGACACATTCATTGTATTTGTATCATCCATATAAAAAATGTCCATATACTATTTAATTATATTAAAAAAATGTAAATTATTATACAGTGTGTTGTTACCATCACGACTTTAAATGAACACACATATAGGGGATAACTTTTTAAAGTTGTATTAAACATATAAATTCTTTAAACATCAATATTTACAGAGTTATTAAATTTTCCAAAACAAATAATTTTAGAACACCCTTACCTATAAAAGCGTAACGTAAAGTTCATTTGTAAAGGTCACAAAGCATATGAATGGGTTGAATGAATTTAAAAGAGACAAAACATACTGTTAGAAGGAGAGACTTGAAATGCGACGCTGTGGCGCGGTTTGTTACAAATTTTGTTTCTTTTTTACTTAATTAGTTTGTTTGAAAAATATTTTTTTTAAATTATGGATTTTGTTTAACGTTAATATTTTTTTTATGATTATTGGCAAGTAGCGTTAGACGTGTGTTCATTTATTGTCGCGATGGTAACGACACGCTGTATATGTATGTTCAGAGACTTGGTACTTTGTAAAATTCTTAGCCAGAAACAATCTAATTGACTACAAACAAATAATTTAAACTGATTTTAAAATAAAATAGTTCCCTAATTGGGTTTATCTTTCAGTCTATATCCAGGCAACATGCTGTTATCAACATTTTGAACTCTACAGAATTTATGATTATGGATTTAGATTCAGCAAACAAAACAAAGTTATTGAATGTGAGTATTTTTCTTTTAGGGTGCAAAAAAGACATTAAAAAAGGCTTTCTACATTTCAAACTATAACTTTCAAACTATTTAGCACTGTCACACACACAAATTCCATTTTATTTATTTATTTTATTTAATCTTTATTGCACTAAAAATTGTAGAAAGGCGAGCTTAATGCTATATTGCATTCTCTACCAGCTAACCCTAGGTAGAACAGAGACATAATGACAAGGGCAGTAAAGTACTTGTAATCATTACATAATCAAAAAAAATACTTCATAATTAGGTTATAAATCTAAAAACTACCAACATAAACATATGTAGATGAGTATACTTATATATTCATACATACACAGTAAATATACTTAAATATTCAATTTCAAGATACAAATATACAAATTCAATTTTGCATAATAAAACCATGTAAGTACATAATTGTTTTTTGAACTGTCCGTTAAACCAATAATATAATTCTGTCTATTTAAAAATTTTCAATATTTCTAAATTGCTATATATTAATAACATATTGTTGACAGTGTTTTTTTGAATCATTTGTATTTTTGTAAATTGTATATTATTTGTAATAAGTTAATGTATTTACCTTGACTGTTATTAATATACAATTTATGGCACTGCTACTTTGGATATTTATCTATAGTGCCAGTCAGATATCAGTTGTGTAGAAATAATATGGTCGCTAGAAGATTTTATGATATGGTGGCAATTCTTGTATATACATATATATATATATATATATATAATCGGAGTCTCTGAAACGGTTCCAGCGATTTTCATGAAATTTAGCATGTGCGTAGATTCGGGGGTGAAAAATCTATCTAGCTAGGTTTTATTTTTAGAAAATGCCCTTTTATCCCTGTTTTCAGGTACCTCTAGGTACTTACTATTAACATGTGTAGATTGGCTTACTGTAATTGTTTTTAACTATGTTTTACATATGTGTTAAGTTTAATCACTATCCCTTTCTAGAAAACTCTTCCACCCTATATACCCCATCCTTTGAAGAATGGTGACACAGTGCAATTTGGTCAAGTCTTTGGCATTTTTCGATTGCTTGAAGATGATGATGATTTACCCATGACACAAGCTTTGGATATTCCTGATACACCCGTGGTAAATAGGCATGTAACAAAATTAAACAATTTACCCTCTACTACAATACCGGAGTCACCTGATTGTAGTGATAAGGTATGTAAATCTGGCCTTAAGAATCCGAAAATGTGACAATTATTTAAAAAAAAAAAAATTATGTATATGGAATTAATTTTATGAATTTATCACATTTATTTTTAATTTTTTTTTCTTCATGCGTTGAACCCTTTGAGTGTTCATAGTTACAAAGACATAAAAATATACGCAAAAAATTCGTAAAAATACTTTCATTTAGTAATGTGTAATCGCGTTAATCCACGAAATATCTCCTTATATATTTTAGCATATAAAATTTTAAGAATATAGTTAATTTTTGATGGAAAACATTTCAGTCCATGAAAATGTGAGATTTATTTTGAAGTTGTTGCGAGATAGGGTAGAGTAAACATACAGTGCTATCAATTTCAATAAAGACAATTATATAACATACATGATTGTAATTAAAAGAGCAACTTATAAATAATCCATTGTTTTTTTTCAGGATGAGTCCTATATTGTATCATCACAATCTAAAAATTATGAGTTTAAAAGTCCAAATAGTCATTACATTAAAACTTCTGGGAAGACTATTGCCATTCAGTCAGTAGGGATGAATAAAATTGATAATATTTACTGGCAATCATCAAAAAAATCTGTCTCTATTGACATGGGCTTGGATGATTCTAATCAGGAACTTGTTGTTACTGATAAATCCTTGAAAACAACTGAAGCAATCACCAATCAAAATATTCACGAGATGGATACTCAAGTACCTTTTCCTGCGCAAAGATTTGAGGCTCCGGATGCTATATATACCGCGAATACTCAGCTCTCTTCAAATGGGCCATCAGTATCTGGTGTAGATGGTCATTTAATAGATATGAACAATTTGCCGTATGCTCGAAAAATAAATGAGCACCATGAAATGGAACTTGACTTGTTTACTGAAAATAAGGAGAATAACAACAGCATTTACAATGCAGAAACACAAGCGTTTGCTATAAACAACGATAAAGGAACCAAGAAACAAAGCAGCAATGAAAGACTTGACATATCTAATGAAGGAACATCAAATCCAAAACTTAATATATCTGATGAAGAAATTATTTTTGATGAAGTAGATAGTCAGCCATTGCCTGAAGTCTTTGAATCTCAGCCTTTATTGCTCCCCGAAATTTTAAATTTAAATGATGGTATAGCTAACAATAACGATAACAGTATTTTAGACGACGTTAATTTTAAAAACAAACAAACAAATAGAACAAGACTAAATTCAGATAGTTCGACTGATTGTGACGACTTTGATATGTTGCCCACTCAAAAAATTCAAGAAAAACCAGAGTGTGGAGAGCAAAACAACAAAATTGATAACAGATTACAAAATGTTAATGATGATAGTACTGACTGCGAAGACAATCTAGTAGAATTTAACAAAGAAGTAGTTCCAACAAAGTGCACCCGTATTACTTTAGATGATAATGATTCTACAGATTGTGAAGATGACATAATTCCTTGTAATACAGATGCTTTAAAGCGAAAAGCTTCCAGTGAAGTCGGTTTTGAAGACTTGGCTACGCAAGTCATTACTATGGATAGACCTAATGTGATTGAAGACTTAAATGATAAACCAGAATCAAATTATACTTTTGAAGATATGCCAACTCAAATTATTGAAGAAATTGATAAGCCTAAACGAATTTTATCAATACAAAATACAAATGAAGCGAATGAGCAAATGGACGATTCACTAGAAAGAAGTCCATTTAAAGTACCTTTGCATTGTTTTAAGAAAAATAAAAAGAAAGAAATCACAAGACCAGACTTGTTAAATACCGTCAGTTCCGTGTTGGAGGAAGATAATTTCTACGAAGCAACACAAGATATATTAAACGATTTATGCACTCAGAAAGATACAAGTAACGAAGAACAACAGCCGAACACAAGCAGTGATATAAAAAACCGATTAGATCCAAAAAATAAACGTTTAATTGCTGATAAATCTTCAGAAAGTAGTGATGGTGACGACAAAATCAATAAGTATGCAGCAGGTTTGTCAAGTGACCAAATTAAAGATATTATTGGAATAGATGAAAAGATGAACATAAACCTTAAGAAGACATCTAGTGACAGTTCAGACGTGGAAAGTACGCCTCGAAAACAAAGACCCATTAAATTCATGGAAACTGAGTTGCCGGACAGCCAAGAAATAAAAAAATCTGTTACACTAAAGCCAGTTAGGGCCCGTGTAGAAACCGCTACTGAATCTGAAACTGAAAACGATGCAGAAGAACAGTGTACACCAATTGTCTCCCGTAAGAGAAAGTGTCATAAAAATACTAAAATCGATTTAAGAAACAAATTCGAAAGTGATTTATTACCTACAAGAGTATTAACTCGAATAAGAAAACCGACTGCGAAAGCACAAAGTATGGGGATAAATAATATGTTGAAGTGTAGATTGCTTGCGGGATCCGAAGAAATTGTTGATATGGATATTATTGCGGAAAACATGTTGCGGCTCAAGACTAAAACTAGCAAACAAAAGGTAGACGGTGAAGTTAAAACTGAAGATAGACAAAGCCACGAAGCGAACAATGAACAGAAACCTTTGGTAAAACAATTAAATAGTGAAGAGAGTTATGAAAGAATTAACGGTAAAAGAAAATCGAATGACTCTGATGATATATCTAAATCTGAAAAGGATCATAATGACAGGAAAAAAAATAAATCGATAAAGATTAGTAATGACAATACTAAACTGAGCACAGCGAGGAAACCCTATGTAAAAAGTCCCACCGAAAAAAAGACTGATGACAAACCAGAGACTAAAAAAGTAATGGATGTTCAAAACATCGACAAACAATCTGAAACATCAGCAAAACCTTCTCAGAAAACAAGAGGAAGAAGTCAGGCTGAAATAAAACAGGAAAAATCAAACGTGTCTAAAAATAAAGCAGCCGGAAAACGTCTTCAAACGCAAAAGGATGAAACAAAAGAAACTCATAAAGATGACATAAGTAGCAACGTAACAAGCAAAAGAAATTCCAGAAGTAGACGGAAGGAAGAGGATAGGGAAAATGAATCAAAGACATCCACCAAAGAGAAAATAGATGCGTCAGATAGGAGAGATAAAAGGAAACGTAATGCCGAAGACAGAAGCAAGAACGAGTCGTCGCCCGAGAAAGAAGTAAGAAGAAGCAAGAGACAGAGAACGACGAAGAACGACTCGGAGGCGAATTCGGCACAGTCCATTTCGAGCAATAGTAACCCTACTAAACACGAACAAAGTACTGTTTATAGCATCTCTGACGAGTCAAGAAGGGATTCCCCAATAGAAAAATCAATGAAAAGGCCTGCAAGGGATGATTCAGTAAATTGTTTTAAAAAGGGATCAGTCTCAAATACTTTTAACACATCGTTACGAGTTACTCCAAGAAATATCAAGACGCACAAGGTCTTGTTTACCGCATTTCCTTGCGAGGAGGTTAAAGTGAAGTTGGAGAAATTGGGTAAGAAACTTAACCACGCTGCTCATAGCAATTCACTATTATCGATACTGAATCTCTTGTGTGTGGGTTCGATCCCTACTACTGGTATTATATTATGTTTTGGTGTAAATAACATGTTAATAGAGCCGAGATAGCCCAGTACTCGAGCAACCTGAGTTCGATCCCCGGTGCCGACACCAATGAAATTGTTAATTTCAAATGCTGAATTATCACGTGCTCAGCGGTGAAGGAAAACATCGTGAGGAAACATGCATATTTTCGAAATAATAATAAAAAAAATATTTCGAAGATATGTGAAGTCCGCCAATCTTCAGTGGTTCCGCGTGGCGGACTATGCCCTGATACCCTCTGTACAAAAGGGTCCTTTGCCCAGCAGTGGGACATGTATAGGCTGATACTTTACTTTTATAATAGGATATTTTATGAACTGCATTCATTTAATATGTCCATATGTTACTATATCCATAGTAGAAGCTTTGTTTAGTCGGGGACTACATTATGTTGAAGTTAATTGAAGTATTTTATTAAACGTTAAGTTCGGTCTCTCCGTCTTTATTGATCGAGTGCAATTAAGACATATTATGCTTTTGAAAAAATAACATAGTTCACTTGGAAATATGTTATTTATCAAAAACAGTTTAGTTATGGGAGGTACTGATAAAATTTTTAGTAAAATGAAAAATATTTATATACAAACAAAGATCTAAAGAAATTCGTACATAAAAACGTATTTGTTGTTATATACGCACGTAAGAAGTTATACTTCTTTAGCGTAACATAAGAAAAATAACTAAAAATTTTATCCCATGTGTTGTGTGCTACCGTTTTGTTTGTGAAAAAAAAAAAGAGAAATAACTTGCCATTATGTCAAAAACTTGTGATTGGTTGCCATGGTAATACCATGAAGTTGGTGTCGCTTTAGGTGTTGTGTATCGTAAAAATTCTCTCATCATTTTCCCCAAACACGCCAAAAAGAAGTATAACCTCAACAACAAGTTTCACGTTTGTGTGCAACAAAGTGATGATATTCATCGAATCATTCATTAATTTATTCACTCATTCACGCAATATCTTTACCCACTTCATCGAATCATTCATTAATTTATTCACTCATTCACGCAATATCTTTACCCACCACCAGGCGCTGTGGTTGTGACCGAAGTGGCTGAGTGCACGGTACTGTTGACTCTGCAAATAAAGCGCACTTTCAAGTTGCTTTGCGCTATCGGTCTGGGCCGGCCGATAGTCGGTCCCAGCTGGGTCCAGGCGTGTGCCGACACCAATATGATCGTTGGTGAGTCACCTATGTCGATTCTTGTGCGAGAATTTCATATGTCTGCAGATAAAGTAGGGGCAAGAGCCGTATGATGAGTTTTTGTGATTGGTGTCAAAGTAAAATAAAACTATGATAATTTCATTTATTTACGCGATTACTCTTTACTATGTTATACTATATTTAAGTATTTATCGCGTTTACTTCATAATTTTATTTCCCGATGCATTCATGGTGACGGGAAGTAAGCCAGCTATATGTGACGTATAAAGTCTGACTTAAAACATAATTGATTAAACAAGTACAAATGCAAGTTGGACTCGCGCACTGAGGGATCCGTGTAGGGATCTGTACCATTGTGTACAAAAAATCATGTCTGTTGTATGGGATATTTTTTCTTCTGTTTTTTAGTATTTTTTATTATAGTGACAACAGAAATACATTTGTGAAAATTTCAACGGTCTAACTATCACGGTTCATGAGATACAGACTGGTGACAGACGGCCGAACAGAAAGACGGCGGGGTCTTAGTAATAGGGTCCCGTTATACCCTTTGGGTACGGAACCCTCAAAACACTAATTTGAATAAAGAAGAGGGTTCGGTGCTACCATCAGCTTGGGCTCCTATTATTAATAAAATTAAATCTAGGCCCAAACAAACATCTACTGCTCAATGAAGACAATATAAAATTAGCTCATTCTGCGTAGATCGACAAAATTAATAATTTAAAAACTGACGGTAGCCCGGATCCAATCTGTTCCCGTGACCATAAACGCTGAAAAGGGTTTGAAACTGCGGGAAATTAAAGTAAAAAATAAGCGCGATAAATTTACCAACCAAATATTTAGATATATGTATTTGATTTACTGTGTATCTAATTAAATAATTAAAATTGCGTTCAGAGGGCCCAGTACATAGATAAACAAAACCAGTACCCAGTACATAAAAAATGAGACAACATCGTCATCATATCTTCTTTTCATCACATATAAATAGGAGTTGGAAACTAAATGCTTTTTGTGGCCTTGACTGTGGTTTTATGCGACAAGGGATAACATTATTCCAAAAACAGTAGCGGGGATTGAAAAATATGTTATTACGATATTATCATTTACATATAAATATAATTTTGGTCTAAAATATGTTATTACGATGTTATGATCATTTACATATAAATATAATTTTAATATAACATCATACTATGTTATTAAAATTCTCGATGAACCGCAGATCCCTGGCAGTACATTATAAAGGACGAAGCCGCTGAGAAGCGGTTCCAGTTCAACTTGGAGCAGACATTAACGGGAAAGAGGAATTTCTTGCAAGGCTACAATGTGTCCTCAACACCCAGTGTGATGCCCAACGCAATGGAGATGAAACGTAAGTTCTATGTAGCTGAATGAACTAGTTGATCTAATTCATGCATTTTACTCAGGGCACATCTAATTTAAGAAAAATATTTTGACTGCCCTGAAATAAACTTATGCCACACCTCAACTAAAAAAAGTCAAACAACAACGCAAAAGATTTTTTTCTTAAGCGTATATTTGCAGCCTTTGAAGATTAATTTTATGGGACCGACATAGTATCCGTGGGAAGCAGGTGAAGAAGTGTCTAGAGTTAGATAAAGATAGATAGGGATGTCAAAAATAGACGCCTGGTTTCTGAAACATTGATCATTGTAGAAGTTAACTGATCAGCTGTCAAATGGGGTTTCAAATGTTAAATAAGTTGCCAAAAGGGTGGTTAAACTCTCCGAATTGATGGGAATGACCTGTTTAATGATCAGAATGATCAATTCAAAGAATTTAACAATCCTTTTGGCAAACTTATATAACATTTGAAACCCCATTTGACAGCTAATTAGTTAACTTCTAGGATGATCAGTGTTTCAGAAACGGGGCGTGAGTGATGTTCATATTTCACTTTTTCTTGAAAAGTTAGCGTTAAAACGCTGAATTAGTTAGACAGGAAAATATTGATTTAGACGATCTCAAGATACTGCTTATTACTCCAGAGACCATAAGCTAGTAGTGAAATAAATGTCATTTATTGTATTTATTTTTTCGTAACTTTATAACATCGAGTCAAATTTCTCGTATTAACACCATAATTTAGTAATAAACGATTTACTCAAAAATGGTGTTTTTATTTAGAAAATATATTTAAGATACGAAAAATAGGAAATATATTTTACGTATATGCACAAAAATTACCAGTACTTATTACAGTCTAGCCGGTATACGATAGTTCAGGGGCGACCCCTATCAATTTTTTCACTGACACTATAAATTCTTCAGGCCAGTCTTTCTTCCTGTATACATCAACCACCGCAGGGTTGCAAGTGTATTATTGCCAATGCATAAAAGAGTTGTTTCTCCCTCTGTAAGAAGAAACGCTAAAGAATGTTTTCCTGTTCCATGGTGGTCTTCTCTCGGTCTGTGTTACTTCCCCGAAAGAGTGTGCCCATTTAAGCAACGACAGAAGTTTATTATTTTGTCATTGGTGGTAAACTAGCATTTGGCTCATCTATCATAATACTTTAAATGAAATATCATTGACTGACTATATACACATGACACTAAATGACTAAACAATAGTTACCTCCAGTCATGTTAGTACCTTATTAAACTTTTGGCTGTGATAAAACTTTATTGTATTTCCTCTTTCAGTAATTGTAGAATGTTCAGGTGGAACGTGGAGAGAGGGTGGGTCGAAGTGGATCTGTATATCTACCCCCGCAGACAAAGCACTCTGGGTCTCATTGGAGCGTAGAGGTGCTATTTTAGCGAGCTCGGAATTAATTCTGAAAGGTGTCCTGCGACAGAAGTTGGAAATTGTGAAATTAAGAGAACATTGAGAATCAAGAGAAAATAAATGAAATGCAAATTGTCAAAACAGTACAAAGCTTTTGCATGTGATTTTTACACTGTTAAAGTAAATCTAAAAGTAGGTCTTACAAATATAAAAGGATGCTGTACTTGAAAAAGTAAAAGGGCAGGTCCTTCTTTCTTACATTCTGTCAAGTTGATTAATCACACATTTCATGTCAGTACTTTTATATATCATGATGGTATTAGGAGCCATCCATTAATCACTTGAGACTCGAAAGAGGGGAGAGGTTTGGCAAAATCACGAAATATCGTCAGGGGGAAGAGAGGGTGTAGTAAGATATCACGTGTTTTTATTTTTTCGTCAAACGCGCGATTTCTAAACCGAAATGCAGTGTGTCCCTTGACCTTGACTCGCCGCTACATTTTTATCATGGACCTTAATTTCAGAATAAAATGAGATTATATTTTAAACAAATAGGACATAGATAAACAAAACCAGTGACAAATAGGGGGTTAAAAATGCTAAAAAAAAACTCACGTGATTAATGGACGGCCCCTTACTATCATGTAATATAAAAAATTGTTTAGATATTAAGTTATTTTTATATAAAGAATACTTATGTAAAAATGTTACTATGACATTTTACTTGGTAAATTGACGAGCTGTCAATTGTATATTTTATTCTGTTGCATTTTGTGTTATCCTGTATTTCGCCATTGTGTTATAATAGCATTATTACTTACTTTTAATGCCAGACATGTATAGATTTTTAAAATTTCTTTTATATTGTCTTAAACCTTTTCATGCAAGCTTGAAGCATGGATGTTTTACTTTTAGGTTCGAAAGTTTAAATGTCCGTTACATTTGAATTGATAAAATAGAAAGTACAGTCTGTCTGGTTGATACTCATTGTAGCAACTTGACTGCTATACAAACAGTGTTCCCTGGTGTTCTTAATTAAATATTAAGAATAACAATTGGGAAAAATTTTAATTGTAAATATTGAAGTAATCCCCTCATCTTAAGTCAGTTACAAACGGAACCGTTGTCAATATATTTTTTTTACCGCGTAGCATCTGTCATGATCAAGATTAACATAGAGTCGACGAAAAATACAACTTGTGAAAACAGTTTCGTTATAACCACAACATTTAATATAAACACGTTAAGACACGTAGTGACATTAGTATTTAGTTTTTTCTTCGACTAACATTTGGGACGATGACCGTTTTGAATCAAGCCTGTAATTATTTATTTTAAAAGAAGTCACTATTCATAAAGAATCAATATTTATTACAACGATCAGACAGATTTTTTAAAACAAAAATATTCTTAGCTTATGCCCTATGAATGCATCACTGAAAGTTTTATGACGTATTTGTTTTTTAATTAGCTTTAATTTGTGAAATATTTTAATAAGAAGGCACGTACTACATGTTCTTACCTGATGTAACTGCTTGTAAATTTTCTTTACAATCTGTTATTATTTTCCGTCGAGTCTGACATCAACATGATAATGACCGCGGTCTGTGATTTTGGAATTTGATTGTATCAATATAGAGCTATATAATATTAAAACTCGGAATTTCAGTTATCAGCTAAGGTTTTAAAATCATCGTTAGAAAGTATATAACAGCAGGCTTGCAAAGTACCAGAGATGACATTTCAAAATACAAGGTAATTATAATTGATAAATAATTATTATATTAATAATTTAAATAATTATTACATTAACAATTTTTTAAATTATTTGTACCCACCGTGATATTTGATTTTTTTTATTCATGATATTATAATATTTTGTCATTATCTTAACTTTGTTTTATCGCATTACCTTAATGGTTTTTGTACAAGAAAAAATAAAGAGGTGTAATTCACTTGCTGTTGCATTTTTATTACATAAACATCAATACAATTTATTACATAAAAATAAATAAACAGTATTCCTTAAAACTTAAATAATTGCAGAGTTAAAACTTAATTTTTTCGTATTACATACTTGATGGGTATGATAGGGAACAAAGGTAACAGTTTCCACTTTTGATGATTTTGTATTGCATGTGTATTCAAGAAGATATTCAAGAAGAAGAATACTGTAATGGATCAATATAAAAAGCTCATTTAAACATTTTATTATAGTTTTAAAGTTTTTAGTTATGTTAATTTTTATATGCAAGAGTGGTATTGTTTATAAAAATTCCAGTTTTGTTTTTGGTCAAGCTTAAAAATAATTATGAATATATAAATATTTTGTTAAATATACCAATTAAATGGCATTAATTCAAACAATCGGCTATATCAATTTTAGTACAAATCAAAAAATACTTATCCATAGAATATGATTATTAGAAACATGGCAATGTTCATTTGATAGAAACAAACATAATTATCACCAAATATCTAACCATTTAACAGTGTCAATCCATTAAACTTGCTTATAATATCTTCTAACTCTTCCCTTCTGAATTGCAAAATATATAGTATAAAAATGTGTATCTTAAGAGATACGGGTAATTGTCGATTTTTACAAAATCGAAACTGGTGATTGAATTTTGCTTCTATCAATATCAATCTTCAAATACATAATTTACCATGAAAAATAACGTAAGTTGAACGCAATTTTAAAATGCTTTAATACATTATTGAGAAGGATGTAACATCATATGCTATGATAACATAGTTACTGAGCAAAATTAGAATCACTGCTATTAAGCAATGACTGTCGTTTTGCTTTGTAACGATAGCAAATTACTTGTTGCTCAACCTTAGATACCAGCTCTAGAAACTTGTAATGTATTCATGAAACAAAAAAGTCCAAAAACAACATGTAAGCTGCAATTGATTTTCCGTGCAGTCACATTTTATTTACACTAGTGGGTTAGTTGAATGTGTTTTCTGATCACTATCATATATTATTTTTCATTGTTTCAAATTAATCTATTTAATAGTAACTAGTTAAGAGAAACTATTTAACATATTTTGTGCTGGCCAGATACACTGCATGATTTTTAGAGTTCTTAAATTAACAAAGAACCTATTACATTTGTACAAACTTCTTCGATATAAAAAACATATGTGAGAGAAAATATGATTCAACATAAGTAACCCTAATTTTATATCGGATGTTAAGACGAAAATAAATTAACTTATAAAATATGATATAAGCTCTAGATACTTCCTAACCGGCCTGGATTAATAATTGATTTGTGATAGATGTGTTTGCGTATTATTTATAATTTTCTTAAGTGAAACGTTAACGAGATAACGCTATGTAAACGAAAGTAGCCGCTTCTCTTTTTTCAAAGATCGCTGTGCAGTGTTATTAAACTTATTATCCATAGCTATAACTTACTTAAGTGTCCAAGTTAAACTACGAAAAAAAAATCCCTTTAATTTTAGTATACAGGTGATTTTTTTTTCTTTTTATATATCACGTACATATGGTTATAAAGTTTAAAATACTTGCAACTGACCGCAAACATCATTCACGTATATAAAATCACACTTTCTAATAATCTTAGTTTTGAAACCTCCATAATCTATAAATATTTAACTATTTTTATCAGAGCGTAATTATAACTCCGTCCGTTTACAAAAGGTGCGTGGCTCAAACAAAACGCGATGAAGTTATTTGTCGCTCCAACAAGAATGTAGATGAAGTATTTTAGGCTCATAACGTACAGTCATTACTGTCACCTAGTGGGGAGGGTAGAAATTATAATATAGCACTTTTAGGTCGTCACACACTTAGCACTTTTTTCGCGTCCATACCTCCGCACACACGCACGCACGCACACACATGCACGCACACACGCACATCTTTTACACGGTCTTAAGCCAAATCTAATCGGTAGGTGTAGCGTAAGGCGTTCTTTACCGAAATTCTTCACCGCTGCACACAAACACTATCGCCCCTCTTCATTAGTCCTCTCCACATCCAGATCCAGTTCACACCACATAAAGTATATTAAAGTAAAAATCGATTTACATTCATGTTACGGCCATGTAGGGCTTTTACCTGTGTACCTTTATATGGAAATGCGTTTAAGTCCCTGTAGCTGTGGAATTGCATCGTGATTGCGTTAGGCGGGTGGGACGCTAAGCCTGTGGATCCTTCCGCATCAGCTCCAAGTCGGCCTCCATCATGTCCTTGACCAGCTCGTCGAAGGTCACTTTTGGCGCCCAGCCCAGTTTCTGCCTCGCCTTGCTCGGATCGCCAAGCAATAAGTCCTGAATGTATAAATTTAAATTATACATGTAAATTTATTAGTATATATTAGGCTGGTTCAAAAATTTCTTTGACTCTTACCCTCCTAAATCTTTGGGAATGATGAGAAAGAAATTCTCACCAAAGGGCTGTACCTCAATTCTAAGTTTATTTTAATTTTTCGAATAATTTTCATATTATTTTTTTCCATTTATCATAAGTGTCATAGTAATACATTATTATATTTTAGAAAACACAAATAGTCAGCTTTAAGAGTATGTAACGGTATGTTACAGGCAGAAAGCCGACGAAGGAAGGTTTATCTGCGGCAGGGCGTAATTTGGCACGTAGTAATTTCTGTTGCCCGAGTAAGCAGGCCCAACCAGGACCTGCCCACTCGTGCAAGTTTTTACGTTATTAGGGGGGAGTAGGTAGTATATACCACGGCCTCACAGAAGAAGTGGTAGTATATACTTTTGAGGTTGGCAACGCCTCTGCAACACCTGAAGGTGTGATATTTAAATTATGGTGGCGGCGGTACATTCAACATTGGGTTGACCCGCTGTTCGTTGGCCGACTTTTACACAACAAAACAAAAAGAAAATGACTGAAATAGGCGTACATATTATTGAATTAAAAAATATACACCAACCTTAAAGGCACACACACAGGTTTCAGTAGACCAGAGATTAAAACGTATCGGGTAGTAGGACAACGCTATTCGACTACTCCAGACTAACGTTAGGTGTGGTAGGCCATGGTCACACTTCATGTCAGGTGAACCCAGTGTCCGATTAACCAAGTAGCAAGAGCAGCAATTTCTTCGGGCCCCGCGCGAAATGGGGCCCCGCATTGTTAGATCCACTCATCTCTGCCTAAGCGTAATTTTTTCAATGAAACTTATTAAGGTATATTGAACTGACGTCAAATATGTAATGAAAAAATTATTTGTGTAGTGTCATTAGTTGGTTGGTTGTAGTACGGTTGAACCGTTAGTTTTTTTATCAAAATTATTTTTCCCAATTTTCAAAAGGTTGTACCCATTAGGAATCCTCGGGTGTAGATGTCCATGGGCGGCGTTATTCATTTAAATCAGGTGAACCGTCTGCTCGTTTGGCAATTTTTCACATTAAAAAAAAATTCTAAACTGCCAGGCGATCTCATCTCGGGCCGTTTGTACTTGTCAGAGTCTAGCAGGGCCTATCTACAGTAACCTATTACTAGACTATTAATTACGAAGAAAAGCTTAACCTAGACGGCAAATAAACGTACTGATAAATTGTGTTTCTATTGTACTTAAGGCCCGATAGCAGACCGAGGGCTCTAAGGGAAATCTTGTATTAACTGTGTTTTTGCTTTCAGTCCCGAGACTATTAAGCTTCACGGTGGGGATGGGTAGGGCCGCGCATGTGCTCATGCGTGCGTTTAACTACGACATGTCATCTAAGTTGCGGTGCGGACCGAGACCCCGATGGCCGTCGACTGTGTTTTTAGCTAATCGGTGGCTGGGGGCGGTGAGAACCGCCCTGGAACGCGGGTGTACCTCGCGTTGGGTTGGTCTCGCCGTGCTCGGAGGCGAGGGCGAACTAATGTGTTTGTTGCCTGTGAAGTACTTTCAACGCGGCGGCTTGTGACGCGGAAACGGGATGTGCCACTCACCACCTCCGTGGGCCTGAAGTACTTGGGGTTGACGCGTACCAGCAGCTGGCCGGTGGCGCAGTCGTGGCCCGTCTCGGCCGCCCCGCCGCCCCTCCACTGGATGCCGCGGCCCACGTGGGCGAACGCCTTCTCCACGAACTCCCTCACGCTGTGCGCCTCGCCGGTCGCCACCACGAAGTCCTCGGGCGTCTCCTGCTGCAGCATCAGCCACATCGCCTGCCCGGCCGCCACGGGAAGGCGGTCTTATATACAAGTCTTGCAGCACAGGGACGCCAATTGGCGATGATGGTGTTATACAACAGCGTGTCGTTACCATCGCGACAGTAAATGAACACACGTCTAACGCTACTTGCCAATAATCATAAAAAAATATTAACGTTAAACAAAATCCATAATTAAAAAAGAATATTTTTCAAACAAACTTATTAAGTAAAAAAGAAACAAAATTTGTAACATCCTATACAACGCGCGCCACAGCGTCACATTACAAGCCTCTCCTTCTAACAGTATGTTTTGTCTCTTTTAAATTCATTCAACCCATTCATATGCTTTGTGACCTTTACAAATGAACTTTACGTTACAGTTTTATACGTAACGATGTTCTAAAATTCTTTGTTTTGGAAAATTTTATAACTCTGTAAATATTGATGTTTAAAAAATGTAAATGTTTAATACAATTTTAAAAACTTATCCCTATATGTGTGTTCATTTATTGTCGCGATTGTAAAGACACGCTGTATACAAGCCTTGCAACTTAGGAAGAACAATTGGGGACGGCGGTGTTATATACAGGCCTTGCAACTTAGGCACGATAATTGGCGACGACGGTTTTATATACAGGTCTTGCGACTTAGGTAGGACAATAAGCAACGGCGGTGTTATACAGCGTGTCTTTAAAATCGCGACAATAAATGAACACTACAGGACTTATTGTCCCGTTCAATGGTAGGGACGGGGCAAGGCGACGACGGTATTATATACAGCTCTTGCAGCTCTGGGATGGCAATTAGCGACGACGGTGTTATATACATGTCTTGCAACTCGACGGACTTTCAATTGTAGAGACGGGGCAAGGCGACGACGGTGTTATATACAGCTCTTGCAGGTCTGTGACGGCAAGTGCCGTCGACGGTGTTATATACAGGTCTTGAAACACAGCGGACTTCCAAAATTAGAGAGTGACTAAACTGTTGAGGGGAGTCATAACGGCTGGACCGATTTTGATGAGAATCCTATCAATCTTCAAATTAGTCCAGCAAGTTTGAATGAATAGAATAACTTCTTTAATAGCCTATCTTTTATCGTGTCTTAAGCTAGAAGTTTCTTAAACACATAACTATTACTTAGAAGGTCAGGAGAACTCGAAATCTTTACGAAATATTCATTTCCCGTAGATCATGGTGTTAGTTTACAAAAGTGATAAATGTAGTATTTTCAAAAAAGATTTCTGAACGACACATAGAAGATACATCAATAGGGACGTTATATTTCTCTGAACTAATGGCATTGTTAATCTCTGTGATAAGAATATCGATCGCAATCGATCGAGTGCATCGTCAATCACTCTCAAGAAATCGTCGATAGCGGTCCTCTTTAAGATATCACCTTATTATGGTTATAAGTAACAGCAATTTATAGGCATAAATGCTTTATTCGTCATTTTTTCTTGTCTCTATTGGGACAATAAGGCGGGGTTTTTGAGTCTGTGTGGCAGTAGTTGACTTAAACATTACTGTTGCATTAACTGTGGTCCCTGCCACAAAAAAAAAAAAAACAGAAAAAAACCCGATGCTCACCTCCACGTAGTCCTTCGCGTGGCCCCAGTCGCGCTTGCTGTCCAAGTTGCCCAGCTCCAGGCAGGGCATCAGGCCCAGGGTGATCTTGGCCACGCCTCGCGTGATCTTCCTCGTGACGAAGTTCTCCCCGCGCCTGGGGCTCTCGTGGTTGAACAGCAGCCCGTTGCACGCGAACATTCCGTACGCCTCGCGGTAGTTCACCACTATCCAGTAGCCGTACAGCTTCGCGCACGCTGGAACGGCAATAGCGCACCGAAGTTGCCAAAAGAGCGAGCGGCTCGCTCGATGTCGGGTAATCACTGCGGTGGGGCCACGCAACAGTGTTCGCCGTTGCACGAATGGGCAGGTCCGTCCGGGCGAGTGCCACGACCTCACAGAAGATCGGCGTAAAGTGGAAATTACTGTGGTAGGGCGACACAACAGCTTCGACTGTTGCACGAATGGGCAGGTCCGTCCGGGCGAGTGCCACGACCTCACAGAAGATCGGCGTAAAGTGGAAATTACTGTGGTAGGGCGACACAACAGCTTCGACTGTTGCACGAATGGGCAGGTCCGTCCGGGCGAGTGCCACGACCTCACAGAAGATCGGCGTAAAGTGGAAATTACTGTGGTAGGGCGACACAACAGCTTCGACTGTTGCACGAATGGGCAGGTCCGTCCGGGCGAGTGCCACGACCTCACAGAATATCGGCGTGAGGTGGAGTGAGTGTCACACTTCTGCGTTTAGTCTGGTGAGTGAGGGAGCCGGGGCCCACTTTATTAAAAGATGGCAGCGCATCTGCGGGTTTTCGAATGCCCATGGGCGGCGGTTATCACTTCACATCAGGTGAACTGCTCAGCGAACTGGTCAGCTCGCTTGCCACCTTCTCATACCTACGGAGTTTCTTTCGCCTGTTTCTTCTCCGCTAGAGGCACCTCATTACGAAACGGTGGTAAATTAAAAAAAAATATGACTATCGATAGATGAAATGTAAGTTTCTTATGGCGATGAATAAATGATTTTGATTTTGAAAAGTAAAAAAAAACCGCCGCCCCTAGACATCTAGAATACCTCACGGATTGCAGAACCGTTGCCGGCCATTAAAATAGCGGGCTTCGGTTACCTCAGTCAGCACGAAACGCGACAGTACAATACTCCCACTCATATCACTCTTCCGTGAGGCTGTGGTACTTCTCCGGACGAGCCTGGTCAATCGCGAAGTAGCAGAAGTTGGCCGTACTACATTTAATTGTTGTTTCCTCGTATTTTAATTAGGAGCTGACTGTCGCCTAATGTAGCGGTAGATGGCGGTCACATCAAATCAGTAAAATCGTGTTCGCATGTGAACTATCTGAACCACGTTACACTATCGTACAACAGGGCTTCGTATGCTACGTGCGCAATCTCGCATGATAATAACTTACTGTTGTACCAAGAAATAAGTTCAAGCTAGCTGTTCCATCATTTCAAAATTGTGTGTGACTCCGTGGCGCAGTTGCCAAGGTATTGGCTTCGGCGGGGTTCGTGGTTCAATTCCCACATGGGACAAGTATTTGTGTGACCCACAGATAATCGTTCCGGATCGGGGTGTTTGTTCCTAAGGAGGGTTCCCGTCAGACAGGCTGCCGGTCGTAAATGTGTTGATGATGATTTGCCGACCCCACCTAGCTGGGTTATATCTAAAGTTGCACCAAATATCTTTAACCATTTGCGTATTTAAAGTAAAATATGTATGTATACAATTCGAACAATTGCATTTTAGATACAATAATTAACTCTAAATATGAGGCAGTTGATGGTATTCACTCTGGTTTATGGTATACCTTTCTTTTCACACTTCTAATATTTTATGATTGCGTCAATCGTACCGTACGGCGAGCGGGGGTAGAACGGGGTCTTCTCGTTCTGCGGCACCTCCACCACTTTCCCGTAGAGCTCCGACGTCGAGGCCTGGTAGATCTTGGTCTCCTTCTCCAGGCCGGCCACGCGCACCGCCTCCAGGAGCCTGAGGGTGCCCAGCGCGTCCACTTGCGCCGTGTATTCGCTCAGCTCGAACGAGACCTTCACGTGGGACTGTGCGCCCAGGTTGTAGATTTCCCTCGGCCGGGTCTGGTGAGGAGACCGTTCTCAGCGTTTGGACCGAGTAGGCAGTGGGGCCACGCAGCAGCCTCGGCTGTTGCACAAATGGGCCGCCTCGTCCGATAGAGTACCGCGACCTCGCAGAAGACCGGCGTAGTGGAAGTGTAATACTTTCGCGTTTCGTTTGGCGAGTGCGGTGGCCGGAGCCCGATTTTCAAAAGGCTGTCAACGCATCTGCAACCCTCGGGTGTAGCAGATGTCCATGGGCGGAGGTATTCACTTAACATCAGGTGACCGTCTGCTCGGTTTGCAACATTTCACATTAAAAAAATATGTAAAATTTAATCAACGTAAAGATCCTCGAGTGTCGACCACGAACCGGAAGACGCAGCGTTGGAAGGCCCCCCTCTAGGTGGATCGACGACATCGTCAAAAGTCGCCAGCAACCGGTGGATGCAAATGGCTAATGTCTGGTTCCTATATTCAACGAACGGCCGTTAGCTACATAGCTTCGCAACTTAGTAGCCGTGATAGCTCAGTGTCCGGGCGCTCGCCTTTAATTCAATACACTCGAGCAACCTGAGTTCGATCCCCGGTGCCGGCACCAATGAAGTTTTTAACTTTAAGTGCTGACTTATCACGTGCTCCGCGGTGAAGGAAAACATCTTGAGGAAACCTGCATATTTTCGAAATAATAACAAAAAAAAAATTCGAAGATATGTGAAGTCCGCCAATCCGCAGTGGGGCCCCGTGGTGGACTATGCCCTGATACCCTCTGTATAGAGGAGGCCTTTGCCCAGCAGTGGGACATGTATAGGCTGTTACTTTACTTTTTACTTAAACGGGTAGTAAACATGGAATCTGAACGATAATTATAAATTAAGGGTGCAAAAATTATAAAAACACATTAACCGAGGGTCGACTAAGATTTTAATCACAATAATCTATTAAATCTGATAGGTTATTTTTTACTATCGGTAGAACTACAACTAATCTTATCGATAAATCAAAGGTGGGTGAAACCTGTTTCAAGACTGTGATTAATCAAACGAAACAAATCGAAGCTATGAAAATGTAAATAAATAGAAAATGTATCGCTAGACATTTAAATAATAGTTATCCTCATTATAATTACCTAGGGTTCCGGCAATAAATAAAAGCCCCTACAGTCATTTCGCCGCACTTTCCATCTTTATGTTACTTCGCAAGAATATAAATAATCCATTTAATATTTGAAAACCTTAGATTACCGCGACAATGAATGAACACACGCCTAACGCTACTTGCCAATAATCATAAAAAAATATAAACGTTAAAAAATCCATAACTAAAAAAAATATTTTTCAAACAAACTAATTAAATAAAGAAGAAACAACAAATTTGTAACATCCTATACAACTACATCCTACAATGGACTGATTCATACATCAGAAACTTTTCACTCGTTGCCACAGCGTCACATTACAAATCTCTCCTTCTAACAGTATGTTTTATCTCTTTTAAATTCATTCAACCCATTCATATGCTTTGTGACCATTACAAATGAACCTTACGTTACAGTTTTATACGTAAGGATGTTCCAAAATTATTTGTTTTGGAAAATTTAATAAATCGGTAAATATTGATGTTCAAATAATGTAAATATTTAATACAATTTTAAAAAGTTATCCTTTATATGTGTTCATTTATTGTCACGGTTGTATCGACACGCTGTATAATCAAAGTCCAAAACATTTTAGAATTTAATCATCGACTGAGATCATGAAACAACATTCTTGAGTTTAATTTTAACATTTATTTCTTAATAGATTTATTTTTTTTAAAGATTTATTTAGGGAGTTTCTAATACAAGGAGAAAAATTGTAGCGACGAAAACCAAAGAGTCGGAATTATATTCGCGATATAATTCATTATGAGTGGATGGATCCAATTCAGAGGGATGTCCTGTGACCTGATGTCCTGACTGATACAACAATTGTCAATTTTAAACGCTTAGGCGAGATAAACAATGGACGTTCGTGTAATGTCACATACAAGTCCTTCCTGTGGCCTTACGCTCGGATACGTAATTAGCATGAAGTCGATATTGCTTAACCTTGAATGAGAAAACGTCTGATTCTCGACTTACGCCCGGTGTCTGAAACACTGATCTTCGTACAAGTTAACTAATCAGCTGTCAAATGTTATTTAAGTTGCCAAAAGGATGATTAAACTCTCTGAATTGATCAAAATTATTATCGTATCCTCATCTATAATGGTTCAGACGGTCCGACACAACACAACAAACACTTTCTGTAAACATAGAAACGATTTTTTTCTATAAATTGGAAATAACGTGTAAGGGCATAAGCGGATTGTGAACAAACTACTCTTTTTTAAATAATTCTTTGATATTTATTAATTAATACAAATATGATTGTTTAATTTTTTTTACATTTTGTATTTTTGATGCGAGTAAATTCTTATTACATTTCCATAGTCTATCTGGTCTTATCTGCTGTTGGTAACTTTCGTATAATAACTGCTGCTTTTCGTTTCGTTCTTATCGAGGGGGCAAATCTTTAACAAATAACTCTAGTTTCATGGAGGTAAGCAAGGTTATACCAGGTTTTTACCTACAAAAACCCAGTCGACGTTGTGGGGGAGTCTGGAAGATGGCGTAAAGTTTGGCACACTTCGCAAAGATACGCAAAAGTTAAAACCGGCGATATATCACAATCGATGAAAGGTACAATTTTCTAAGAAAAATAAATAACGAAACAAGTAATTTTTTTATTAACAAAAATCAAAATTGACTTCAAATATACACACCGGCACAATTAGCGGAACACAAAAAAAAGCAGGATTTTAAAATCTTTTACTTGAGGAACTGGCCAGTTATGATATTTTTTTAATTTATTGTCAAATTTGAAAATAGAAAATTAGATGACATACAATTTTTTCATTCATTTGTTTTATTTTCCCGAACAATACGTTTTGTCAACTTGTTCGAGTAATAACTACGTAATTGTATTTTTTTGAAAAATTGCACTTAATGGTTTTTTATAAATTTGTTATTCTATAGGCAATTTTGTTAATTAAAAGCTCTTTATTATGCCTGACTTAATATCACTGGAAATCATTAGGGCTGATGAAATGAGGAGAAATGGCCATACCTACAGATCGATTGCCTCAAGGCTTCGTCGACCAGTATCAACGATTCATCGCAGCATCCAGCGGTACAGATCGTCTAATTCTCTTGTGAGGAGGAGGGGTCAAGGTAGAAAAAGATGTACATCGAGGCGAGATGACAGTTTTTTACAACTTGGAGTTCGTAGGAATACGCGATTAACGGCTGTACAAGCTCGAAATGAACTGGAAGACGTTCGAGAAGTACGAGTAAGTGAGCGTACAGTTCGCAGGAGATTTGAAGAAGTTGGTTTAGGGTCGTATATACCTGCCAAAGGCCCAAAACTTGAGAGACGTCACCGCGTAAACCGATTAAGCTATGCGCGAGAACATCGTCATTGGGATTTGAACGAAAGGCAGCAGGTTCTCTTTACTGATGAGTGCAGAGTTCTTTTAAAACAGATCGATGGGAGACAGCGAATATGGAGACGCAAAGGAGAACGCCACATACAGTCTAATTTTGAACACACAGTGGCTTATGGTGGCGGCTCGATTACGGTTTGGGGAGGGATATGTTTGGGAGCTCGCACGGAGTTAGTGATAGTCACAGGAGGGACCATGACAGCAGATCGATACATCAGAGACATTTTAGAAGAACATGTTGTACCATTTGCCCCATTTATTGATGACCACTTTATTCTAATGCAAGATAATGCTCGTGCTCATAGTGCACAATCGGTACAGGCATATCTGAGCCACGTAGCTATACCGGTGATGCAGTGGCCAGCAAATTCCCCCGATATGAATCCGATAGAGCATGTCTGGGACTTGCTAAAAAGAAGGGTTAAATCCAGAATGCCACCCCCCAACAATCTGAATGAACTTGGAAACGCATTACTTGAGGAGTGGGGGCGGTTGCCTCAAGAAATCATCGATAACATAATCTGTAGCATGCCCAGACGAATGGAAACCGTAATCAGAGCAAGAGGGGGAAACACTCGTTATTAATTTTGCTTTAATTTTATTGTTAAATCATTTAATGCTTACTTTTTTTATTTTTTGTGATGGTTCATAATCATCTAAAAATTTCACTTATTTCAAATTTCTTTATTTTCAATAAAAAATAACGAAGACTTTTCAAAGTCGTTGTTAAAAGATGTTAATCAATTTGTTATTTTGTGTCTAATTACATTTTCGCCAAATATATGCGTTATTATCTCATAGTCTCACTTTTTTTTCTGTTCCGCTAATTGTGCCGGTGTGTATATCTCGCTCTGTATTCATTTTATAATTGACTTGCTGCTGCCCGCGACTACGTCTGCGTAGAATAGGCTGAAGGCGTAAGATTCAGGCAGAAAGACATATACACATGAAATATGTATATAAATTATAGCATATGTCTTATTCTGATGTATAAGCTATAATATTGTAGAGTTTCATTAAAATCCATTCAGTAGTAATTGCGTGAAAGAGTAACAACCATCCATCCAGACGTACACATTCGCCTTTATAATATTAGTAAGGATTTTCAAGAGTTCCCTATGTATCTCCGAAGACCAAGATCCAATACCAATGAAATTAATATGGGATCATATAGGAAGCTCCAGCTCTCAAATACCAAATACCAAAAGACTCATCAAAATGAGGTAACAAACATAAAAAAAGTATAGTCGAATTGAGAACCTCCTTTTTTTTAGTCGGATATAAATTACGAAGCGGTGCTTGTAAGATATAATATTATAAAAACTCGTAACAAACATTTCTGAGTAATATCTATTTTGACTTAGAATTGATAGAAAAGTGTCATATAATATTTGTTTATCATTATATTCTGGTCTGAATTTGCATTTGTTGGTCTTAGTAAACAATAAAGTAAATGTATATAGTGTAAAGATTATAAGTAATTATTTTGTAATCTGAAACTGTACCAATATATGTCACAATTTCAGAATTAAAAATGAACATAAATTACAGAGAGGAACAAAGTGGAAATAACCATTTTGCTTTTTCTAACCATTCTGCAGGTTTAGTTAGATAACTATTTTATGTAAGGTATGTATGCTAATACTTAGCGTGAAGCATAAATTGGACAGTTCAACCGATGTTTGTTTGGTTGTAACCATATAACTGCCATATACAATCATTGACTAAACTCAATTTTATATGTATAATTTGATACAATTTGACAACAAAGGATATTTTCACCAGTTACTTCACATTAAAATATTATAAACATTAAAAAATTATTTCTGTAATTTATTACAAGAAAAAAAGCATTAGCAACTTTATAATAAAAAAGGAAGCCACATAACAACAAACTTTCAGCAGTATTAATATGCATGAACTTAATAAAATAAATACTAGCTGCTGCCCGCGACTACGTCTGCATAGAGGGGTGAAAATTTAGGGTTGTATGTGTTTTTTATGCTGTATCATAAAAAATAAATTTTATATAAAAAAAAATTAGGGGTGGACTACCCTTAACATTTAGGGGGAAGAAGAATAGATATTGTCCGATTAACCCTGGCCGATATGCACACAAAATTTCACGAAAATCGGTCAAACCGTTTCAGATGAGTTTATTACAAACACCTTCACACAAGAATTTTATATATTAGATTTAGTCACTAACCTTAGATATTATACTTATAAGACATGTTGTGTCAGTGAGGTCACCATAGTGCAAGTGCATCTGACCTCCTGTATGACAAGCTGGCTGTCCATACAGGTGTTGGATTCGGCCAGTGTTGAATGAGGAAGAGCGACGCAGGATCCCATGTACTTCATAGCCTTTTTCAATTAAAAATTCTGCTAAGTATGACCCATCCTGCAAAAATGTATAAAAGTAGTACTAAAGTATAAATGTAAGTACTAATGAGTAATACTGGCTGAATGAAAAGTTTATTAAAATAAGTTAAACATTTAAGGAAAAAAGAAATTAAAATTAGACAAACGTTTTAAAATCAAAACTGTTACATACATTTTTGAATAAAGAATGCCAAGTAACTCGCTTACCTGCCCTGTAATTCCTGTTATAAGAGCTACTTTTCTATTACAGTTCACATTGTTGGTATTGGAACTTTCGCCCGACATGGTGAGCTATTTTAAAATATTTTAAAATATCTTTTAGGCGATGATTCAAATTTTATTCAAAAACACGTCTACTCTGAAAAAATGCCACGAGCCGGTAACTGATAAGCTTATCATGGACTGAAGTGTTTATTAAAGCTATTACGGTTGGTATAAATTACGTGTACATGTTTATAACGCCCGATTCCAGTTTTACATTTGCAAATAGTGTTAACATACAAAAGTGTCCATAATAAAGCAATTAAAACACTTCGTTTATATTAATTTAACAAAGATAAACAAATTTCACTAACGTCATATGTCAAATTGAACAAAAATCAAAATTAAATATACTAGTTCTAGTTCTAGTATCGTTTTATGTCAATTTGAATTACTTTCATCGACTGAAAATCGATATTTCGGGTTAAATACGAGAAAATAAATATTTTTTAAAACAATTTTTGTTATTAGTGATAAATAAAATTGGACTAATAGCTAATAGTCATTTTTTAAATAGAACGCATTTTTTTAACATTTCTACCTTTGTATTTGAAAATCTTGCTTTTACATAAATGGTTCAATATTTATTAAAAACTCTAATTGTTTGTAAATAATATTTTCATAAATTGCTGTTCATACAGCGTTGTCTTGCAGTTAAATCGCTATTTCGACGGAATTACTTTCACTGGATGAGTTCCACTATTTATTGCAATTCAAGCTGAGATTCAAACCATTACTTGAAGAGCCCTTGAAGCATTCCTTTTCCTTACTTCCTCCTGTTACGGAGTTGCACCTCATAAATAAATAAATAGGGGAATAATAATAATATCGACGATGTTGAAAAAGTGGCCAACCAACTTGATTCGAGCGAGAAGTGGTAAAAACGGAGTAGCATTATTACTATAGTATAATTACTACATTATAGCAAAAGTATATAATTAGTTCGTTTTAGGGGCAGTTTTACAGAATATCATTATTACTATAATGGTATTCTGTGGTTACATAACGTTGCATACTTATTTGAGAATTACTTGTGAATACACTATGTATTCACGATCTTTGTACTAATGACTTTTATTTTCACTCTAAGTACTGAGCATTTTATAATTTTATTTATATACATGCTCAGTAAAATTAACTGAAATAAATCAGTGGGTTGACCAACGTTATTAATTTATATTTTGGTTAACCATTTTATTCCATTTGCGAATTAACTTTTAATAATTTTTGTAGATCATATTAAGATTTAGACATGATGATTATTTGGCATAAATACACATTTTCACATCTTGATTATCATAAAAAAGTATCGCTATTTCTAAAATAATATCGATATATTCACACGTATTCCAAATTATAATACGTAATATATTAATAAAATATATGTAAATAAAATATAATTCGTAAATTTTTGAATGTGAATAACATGTATTCCAAAATTTTCACAATTCGGTATACAAATAATTTAGAAATGTAAAGTTCAAACAATTATTAATATTAACATGTTATAAATGGGTTACAGATTATATATATTATGTCTTCTATAAATTACTCTTCTGTGTTTGTTTTAGTTTGTAACCAGTAAACTTCAATAAACACGTTACTAAACCTTTCTGATGAAAATAAATTGAAATTATATAAATATTGATACAAAACTGTTTATGATGTAATTCTTCAGTCATTTAGCGGTTTTAGTTAAGTATCAATTTATTCAAATTCCACCATTCAACCAGTATTCGTCAGATGTTAGTATTACAATCATGTTTGATGCGCACCTATAAAACAGCTTCTTTCTTCGGATATAGCTACACCGACTGTTGAAACACCACTTGCCCGTTGTGATGGTGCGGTGATTTATCGGGATTGAAAATATTCAACGATGTATCGTCGATTGTTTTTAAGAACATATCGATTTTTACATATGTCGAATGTGGAATTGTCGATGCATTTAACATCCCTAATTAAACGTCATCGGTCGTCTAACGTTTTTTTTTATCATTATCTTTTTGAAGGTTAGGATGGTATCAGGTTCAAGTGTTATTACTAACTTTAGTGAATTTTCCTCCTTGTTATAAGTTATAATAGCACAGAATTAAAGTTTTTTGTTCAGTTTAGTTATTTGTTCCGTATATGATCAAAGATATCGCAGGTTGCACGTTCTTCCTGTAATATTGTGTTATCTTCATATTGCGCTGTAAGACGTAATGAACAAATCAAAGAAGGAAAGATAAACAAATTGTAATAAGCAAATTATTGATATGCCTGACATAAAGGTTACCCCATTGGGGGCTGGTCAGGATGTGGGACGGAGTTGCATTCTTCTATCTATGGGTGGTAAAAATATTATGCTTGATTGTGGAATGCATATGGGTTATAATGATGAACGTCGTTTTCCCGATTTTTCGTACATCGTACCCGAGGGGCCAATCACGAGTCAGATCGATTGTGTTATCATATCCCACTTCCATCTCGACCATTGCGGGGCATTACCATATATGTCTGAAATGGTGGGCTACACTGGCCCAATTTATATGACCCATCCAACTAAAGCGATAGCCCCTATTTTGCTTGAGGACATGAGAAAACTCATCGTAGAAAGGAAGGGAGAATCAAACTTCTTCACATCACAGATGATAAAAGACTGCATAAAAAAAGTGACTGCAGTAACTCTTCATCAATCAGTCATGGTAGATAATGAACTAGAGATTAAGGCTTACTATGCTGGACATGTCTTAGGTGCTGCTATGTTTTGGATTAGAGTGGGAAATCAGTCAGTTGTATACACTGGAGATTATAATATGACACCAGATCGACATTTAGGAGCCGCATGGATAGACAAGTGTAGGCCAGATTTAATGATAACAGAATCAACATATGCTACAACCATCCGTGACTCCAAACGCTGTCGTGAGAGAGATTTCCTTAAAAAAGTGCATGAATGTGTAGAAAAAGGTGGAAAGGTATTAATACCAGTGTTTGCACTAGGGCGAGCTCAAGAGCTATGTATATTGTTAGAAACATATTGGGAGAGAATGAACTTAAAATATCCAGTTTACTTTGCGCTAGGATTAACTGAAAAGGCCAACAATTACTACAAAATGTTTATTACATGGACAAATCAAAAGATTCGGAAGACTTTTGTACAACGAAATATGTTTGATTTTAAACATATTAAGCCTTTTGACAAATCTTACATAGATAATCCTGGTGCAATGGTCGTCTTTGCTACACCTGGTATGCTGCATGCAGGCCTATCTTTGAATATTTTTAAGAAGTGGGCTCCATTTGAACAAAACATGTTGATCATGCCCGGTTTTTGCGTTCAGGGTACAGTTGGTCATAAAATACTTAACGGAGCAAAGAAAGTTGAATTTGAAAACCGCCAAGTTGTTGATGTTAAAATGGCAGTTGAGTATATGTCATTTTCAGCTCATGCAGATGCCAAGGGCATAATGCAATTGATACAGTATTGTGAACCCAAAAATGTTTTATTAGTTCATGGAGAAGCTCAAAAGATGGAGTTCTTGAAAGACAAGATTGAGAAAGAATTTAAAATTGACTGTTACATGCCTGCCAATGGTGAAACAAGCACAATCAGTACACCTACAAAGATACCAATTGATGTCTCCTTACGGTTACTAAAGGCTGAAGCCGTCCGGTACAATGCACAGCCACCTGATCCAAAGAGACGCAGAATTGTTCATGGTATTCTATGTGTCAAAGACAACAGACTTTCATTTCTTGATATAGATGAGGTTTGCGATGAAATTGGTATAAATAGGCATGTGATCCGTTTCACCAGCACTGTCAGGTTTGAAGACAGTGGGCCCGCTATCAAAACCGCCGAAAAGCTCAAGACATTGTTGGAGGAAAAATTACAAGGTTGGACCATAACAATATCAGATGGTAATATATCAGTTGAATCTGTCTTGATTAAAGTTGAAGGTGACAATGATAACACGAAGAATATATACGTTTCCTGGACCAATCAAGATGAGGATTTAGGTAGTTATATATTAGGATTACTTCAATCCATGGTACAGTGATTGAGGGATTGGTAAAAATAATATACAGGCATGTAATTTGTTTAAAGATTTAAATTTTAATAAATAAATAACTAGTTTTGGTTTTGTTTTTATGTACACCATGTTACATCTACATTACATTTACCTTGATACCACAAATATTGTAGCTTGTTTATTTCGTTTAATTCAGTCAATACATCTGGTTTCACTGATCTTTGTTCCTAGAACAATGTAAAGTATTAAGTAAAACATTGAGTCACAGACGACGGAGCATAGATAATATATGGCTTTAGAAAAATACTAATAACTTTACAATGTGATGAATTAAAAAAAAAACTTAATGCTAATGTTAAATCTATCAAAATGCTTATTATAGACTTAGAAGAATGTGGAAGTTAGAAGATATGTGGGTTTTACCTTATCTATGAAATTGCCATTTCATTTTTAACGGAAACTGAAAATATTATTAAATTGATATATCCAGTAACCAAAACTATCTGCTGTCGTAAAGCAAGGGTTGATTAGCGCGATCGACAAGTCTCTGTTGTCAGACAGCTCGTTTGTGCATCATCATTTGCAAATCCTTACAGTACGTCTCTGTACTGTAAGGATTTGCAAAGAGGCGTAAAGAATTGAGCATTGAAAATCGGCAATTACATAGGCAACTTACTAACAATAGTTACAAAACCTACTACGAAATGTACTTAAGAGGGCAAAGGCCTCCTCTGTACAGAGGGTATTAGGGCATAGTCCACAACGCGTCCCCACTGCGGATTCACGGACTTCACATATCTTCGAAATAATAACAGGTATTATTTCGAAAATATGCAGGTTTTCGATTGTTGTTACGATGTTTTCGATGTTTTCCTTCACAACACAAAAGCTCAGAATGCTCTAATATATTGAATTAAAAGCGAGCGCTCGGACAGTGATGAATATCAAACTTACCATACTGGGGGGAAATAATCTTTTGAAGTCACCCTTGTGCAGGTATTCCCTGTGTGCTTTCAGCAGGCTGCGTTTCAGTTCGACGCTAAGGCAAGGTTTGCATAGACCGCAAACCGGTGTTTCCTCGCACTGGTCCCTGCACTTAGTTCTGCATTCGTCGCTCCAGACCGCTATGTTTTTCTGAGACGAGACCATATTTTCCGCCAGCATTCTTTCTCTATGTTCAATCGAATATTGGTCAATTACATTCTCTTATTCCTGGTCGGAAAATTATTTCCTATACGTAGTAACATGATATAGACATATGTAACATGACAAGCCGATTAGACGTGGGAACAGCCGTATAATTATTTAGATAGTAATGTCTCACGAAAGTAAATATTTTTATGAAATATACATTATAGCTGTGCAACGTTTTTCTATGTGGGAACGTGGTGAATACGGCTAGTACGTGGCTCGCCTGATGGTAAAGCTTGCAGTTAAATAGACAACCCTTAAAAAGTAGGCCCTGGTTAGTTGATTACCTCACTCTTACTGTGGTAATACCTCACTTTAACGGTGGTAGGGCCACGCAGCAGTCTCGGCTGTTTCACAAATGGGCAGGCCCGTCCGGGTAAGTACCACGACCTCACAGAAGACCAGCGTAAAGTGGAAGTATGACAAATACTTTCGCGTTTCGTCTGGTGAGTGAGGTAGCCGGAGCCCAATTTTCAAAAGGTTGTCAACGCATCTATAACCCTCGGGTGTAGCAGATGTCCATGGGCGGCGGTATTCACTTAACATCAGGTGACCCGTCTGCTCGTTTGGCAACTTTTCGCATAAAAAAAATATTAATTTCATTGATATTGGATTTTGGGCTCCGGAGATACCTACGTAGGGAACCCTGAAAATTAATTATAAAATGAATACAGAGCGAGGTATTTGAAGTCGGTTTTGTTTTTTGTTACTTAAAAAAATTTACTTGTTACTGATCTATTTTGTACTGTAAGTAAATATATAGCCGAAAATATATGTAATGTAAATGTATAATACTTCTACTTCACGCTGTTCTTCCGTGAGGTTGTATTACTTTTACAGACGAGCCTTCCCATTCGTGCAATAATAAGGTAAGAGTGAATAGATTTCTACTGAGCTAGCGCGCTTACCATCAACGGCTGCATCGCCACTTACCATCAGTTGAGATGGCAGTCAAGTGCTAGCACGTTATGAATTAAAAAAAAATAGCTACAGAAAAGTCTGATTTTTGTTAAATAAAATGCAATTTAGGTTGTTAGGTACTTAGTATTAAATTTTTTTTTGTTTGAAAAAATTTAACGTTAAAGTTAAAAGTATGGCGGCTCTTTAATGCATACATCAGTATTGTACGGAAGTTCTATTCCTGTGAGGTATTTGATTTCTAAAACTTTTGTTTTATTTTGTAGAATTTCATGAAAAACCATAAAACTTAACGACCGCAGAATGTTGTAAGTGAAAAAATGAATATCTCCAAGTCAGGGATTCCGATTTGGAACGTTACCCTTAAGAAACTACGAATTTAAGCAGTTTTCATACTGTTCTGTGTATAGCTTTGGTTGTTTTTTGGATTGCACAAGCTCTTATTTATTTATTGGATTACTAACGTAAGATTCAGCCAATTAAGTAAATACAAATTATTTTTCTACATCGTACAATAACTGTTCTCACATTTATAAGTAACCTCGTCATGCGTTGTATCGTGTTACTGTATCGAAAAGCAATAGATATAAAAATTATAAAAATTAAAAATGAGGCTAACAAAGCTCAATCACGATAATTACGATAAAGGTAAGTCAATATTTTTAATTTTTGCAGTAAAAGTGGCGATGCTATGGAAGTGGATGTCAGTGTCCGAACTGATGTGAGAGAGTGCCAAATTAAACGCACGCATGATCACATGTCCGGCCCTACCCACAGCGGAGGGCCCAAACCCGTGGGCTCTGGCTAGCCCACCGGTTCTGCGTCAGATGAAGCTTTAATGGTCTCGGGACTGAAAGCACAAACATCAGTTAATACAAGTACAAGTGCCAAATGAGCTGGCGCTTCACCTGATGTTAGGTGATAACTGCCGCCCATGGGCATTTGCAATATCCAGGGGGTTGAAAATGCGTCTCCACCTTTAAATAAATTGGGCCCCGGTTATTTCTCTAACCAGACCAAACGCAGAAGTTCTACTTTACGCCGATCTGTGAGGTCGTGGTACTTACCCGGACGGATCTGCCCATTCGAGCAACAGTGGAGACTGTTGCGTGGCCCTACCACAGCTACTGTTCTTAACATATTCATTGTATAAGCTGGAAGCGCGTTCTAACGGTGAAAATCGACCCAAATTAATTCTGGATAGTCTAGAATTAAACTATTTGCATGGATATCTCGGGATTCTGTCGGGCACATAAATCCGAGTGCGTTTCTCATTGGGTGTGTTGGTATCCCATTCTTTCACGCAACGATGGAGGGCTCGACATTTTTTTTTAGAGATAGTTTTAAGCCGGAGAGAACATAACTGCCGAAAAACACGGCTCTTGTATGATACGACGCGACTAAAGCGCCGGGCAACAACTAGTATGACGTCTCATAATCTCGGCAGTTTTAAAAATTTAAATGTCCAATCCTTACCTCAAATCTCCAGTATCCCGTCCGCGCATAAAATCAGCGACACCGACCAATGAGAAGAGATTGTACAGGACTTGTTCATACAGCAACTGGTTGGGTGGGTAATGCGCTGAGCTGAGATTCGGCGACATATTCGCTTCTAGGAGATAGACCTTCAGGTCTTCGTCGACCACCAGGTCGAACCTCATGAGCTCGAAGAAGTTGTCCGATGACGGATAGCTCTTCAGCTGCGATAACAAGTTATAATAGTCACAATGAAATGGACCTACGAAGGGCTTCTCTTCTCTATAGTCTTAGACTCATAGAATAGGGCTTTAGATATCACCTGCCTAATATGTAAAAGACAACTAAATGGGCCATGATTGTCCAGTTTGGTTGACCACAGAAATGGCTTCGTGTTGCCGCAAAGTAGTGAGGTTGTTAGAGAAGGTTTATATTTCCCAGAAGATTGGTGTAAGATCCCAGAGGCACCACCAAGGTGAGATTTTAATAGACACATAAACAACATCAAAGGTTGATTACTCATATTAAACACATTACAATAAAACTTTTTTAGTAAAATTCAAAAAAATTGTCCCACGAGTCATTATATATATCAGTTAATACATCATCTTCAACATCCTCCTGCCCCTATCTCAATTCGGTGGGCACAAGTGAATCATGATGTAAGTGGCCCGCTAGGTATTTTTTTACGACCAGCCGTTTGCCTGACCTCAATCCTCCTTGGTGATGAACACCCAGAGCCGAAACAATTATCTGTGGTATCACAAAATACTTGTCCAGGTTGGGAATCGAACTCGTCACCCCCGGCACCGAAGCCAATAGCTTAGCCAATGCGTCATCGAATTCATTTCAGAATTCATTAAAATCGGCTAGTTAGGGCATAAAAAGATTGGACCAACGCATTAGCGATTATTAAAACTGACTAAAGTAAAAGTAAAGTAACATCCTATAAAAGTCCTCTTCAGAGGACTATATATATAAAAGGCCTCTTCTGTAATGGCCAAAGGCAAATGCCTCAGAAAAAAAATTCTGTACGGAGGGTATTAGGGCACAGTCCAGCCACACGACCCCACCGCCAAACTTCACGTATTATCGAAATATTTTTTTTTGTTATTATTTCGAGAATCAGTTTCCTCACGATGTTTTTCTTCATCGCGTAGGACGTTAAAAATAATAATTCAGCACTTAAAATTGACAATTTCGTTGGGATTTGAACCTAGTTTGCTCACATATATTGAATGCAGTGAGCGCCCGGACACTGAGATGTCACGGCTAAATATCTTAAATGCATTAAAGCTACAAGGGGTGTATGTAATATACTTGACCAGCTTGGTCGCCACTTTCTCGTATAAAAAAATATCTAATGACACAATAAATAAAATCCTGAATACTCACCGCCCCGATGATATGATGCTCTTTCTTCAAAAATACCTCGGTGATCGCGTTTTCAATTTCCTCCCACATCTTCGTCGGGTCCTTGCCCTGAGAAGGTTATTAATGAATTAGATATGATACATATTATACAAGAATTTGTAAAGGCCATGTTAAAACGTTATTGCAATATAAATATCACATTTATCGTCTTTTATAGTCGGATGTAGGTTGATGAAAATCTACTATAACTTTGCGTTTTCATCTTTTCCTTGCTCTGCTTAATTCAGTTTTAATTTTGATTTTGTTAATAATTGAATTATATTTCTATTTTTCTTTTCAATATTTCTAAACTTGTGCCATATCGGCCGGAAGGTCTTAAGTGCACACTCATTCAGATAGATGCAGATGTTACATCATACTAACAACACAAACACAATCTTTACAGCACTTAAGATGTATCAATTAGCATTTTGGTGTAAAGACCGACTTTACTAAGCGGGAGTATAGTTTGTTTTTAATTTCCGACGATTCATACAATTCATGGCAGATATAGTCACGGGGTGGATTTATTATACTTCTTAATGTTATAGTTAACCCGGTTTACTGTCATGTTGATTATATCGTTAAGATCTATGTAGAATTAAGTACCCGGAGGACCGAGTTTTGCTCGGTTTGTTTTTTTTGGTAAATCGTGTTTTTTGGAAATTACATTTAGATACAAATCACTGAGTAATGAAATATGCATAATATTTATCGATCTTACCGACGAATAATAATAAGAAAATATGAACTGGTGTTTTTCACAAAAGAAGGAACTTTAAAAAAAAGGGAAAGAAATAACAAAATAACAAATCGACAAAAAATAAAAGGTAAAGAAAGCAATGATCTGGAATCGAAAAAAAAGTAAAAAAAATAAGTGTGTAAATGATCGTGATACGAACCACGGCCGTCTGTTTTGGGGCCGCTCGATTACCGACCGAGCTATTATAACATTATTTTTTGGTAAAATTTACCGTCGTATTCGAATAATATTTTTCTTTCCCTGAAAACAGGGATAAAAGGACATTTTCTAAAAATGAAACCTAGCTAGATCGATTTTTCGCCCCCGAATCTACGCACATACTAAATTTCATGAAAATCGCTGGAGCCGTTTCCGAGATTCCAATTATATATATACAAGAATTGCTCGTTTAAAGGATAAGATTACTATGGAATCGTTACAACTCTCGTGACAATGTATGCTGTAAAGCGTGGACGATATTTTTTATTTATTTCTTTAAACAGGCTAACCTACCAACCAAATACATAAAAAAACACAATTAATATTCTGATGTGATGCATAAACTAAGTTTAACATTGTATACGTGCATTTAAATGAAAGGTAAACACAACATTGAATAAAATACTTAATTTAAGGAAAACAGTAACCTATAAAACATATGAACATTAGAAATATGAAAATTAGAACAAAAAAAAAAAAATTAAGCGTTAATTGACATCTCTGCGCCGTCTGTCAGATGTGATTTAAGTAACTTTCGCACCTTAGAACGGACGTAGGTGTCGAAGGCTTCCTTCATGCTGAATCCCAGTGCAGTATAAGGATGCGCCAAGTAGGGTACTTCCCACGTCGGCAGGTAGTCATCCCCTACTACGTACTTGTCCAATACTTTTGGGTCGAAAGGATAGTATTTCGCTGGACAGTATCTACAAATTTATTTTATATTAATTCCTCTTCTTCTATCTTCTGCTTTTTCCCATACAAGGTGGACATGTGTTGGTAATAAAATTCTGAAATCTAAATAATAACTGTTTCTACGACAGGCCGTTTGCTTGACGGCAAACCCTCCTTGAGAATAAAAACAACATAGTAATTATATTACTTTAAATACAGCATATATTGGAGAGTAAAAGTAAGTTTTTTCCCTGATAAAAGGCAGTTTTGTTCCTGGGTAATTGAATGTAATTTTCCGAGAAACGTGTGGCAAAGTTTATTTATTTACCTAACTTTTACACAAATCTTGTGTATTGACTTAATGCCTGAGACTACCAGTCATCAGGACTTCCACATTCCTCTGCCGCTTCCCCGATCCAGTGGCAGGGGATCCATAAAGTATTTTTTCCCACGAAAAAAAAAAAAACAGAAAAAAGGTGCTGAAGAGATAAAAGAAGAAAGCAACACTAAAAACATGTAGAAAAAGTACGAAAAGATTAGCACTTTAAAAAAAAAAAACTTTAAAATTTATAAAAAGCAATGGCGACATCTCTCGTTCGAAATATCGTTGTAAAACGATATTCGAAATTGTTTGTATGCTGGAAAGGATATAACAATAGATGCGCCAAGCATTGCTTCAAATGCTAAATAACAATGTAGAAAGAAGGGGTTAAGATTTTCGTCGCTGTGGCTATCAGCCGTTTAGCTCAGTGGCTAGAGCGTCAGGCCGCGAATGCCGAAGACGTGGGTTCGATTCCCACAGCGGCGACAATCTTTTCGTACTTTTTCTACATGTTTTAATGTTCAATCTTAAGTGCAGAGATTAGCACTTTAAAAAACTTTAAAATTTAAGAAAGCAACACATCACATACAATATTTTTTTCGCTTAAATACGTTCTATTCTAGCTTTGACATACTTATGTCCTAACCTACCTATTAGTACTTAATAGTAGGTTTAGATTTCAAATCTTGTTGGAAATATTCCGTTTTTTTCTTTTCCTTAAGTCTTCGTCTACCGTTGACGCTGAAAATTCAACTTCAATGCATTTCTTTATCAGAATAACGATTACTTGTAAACATTTATATTATCTTTACACAGTCCCCGAAATAGCTTCTCATTGATAGCGTCGGGAACGGGATTATTAGAGCCTGAATTCACGGTTGTCATATCGGGGCTCGTGAACCAAATTAGCTGGACTGAATCCGATGGCTATTCGAACGAGGAAAAACAATACTCAATTGTTCGAAAGCGACGATGTGTTGAATGGCGTAAGATAAGCAATAAAACGAATAACCTCTTAACGTGTTTTACTTTAGAGGTGTAGACAGATACCTCGTTTTGAAAGCATCAGACATTGAAGTATTTCGTAACAGTAAGAAAAAATTACGTCGAAGCTCTAAAAAGGTCTTTCCTTTGGTCAAATAATAAAAAGAATAATTGTTTATTTAAATATATTGTCATCGTCATTTCAGCCCGTTTGAGTCCACTGCTGAAGATAGGATTAACATAAATATGTATGTAAACGATCTCATAAAAGTAAAGCCGGCCGCATTGTCACCAGCCGCAGTTAAAGTCTAGGATTTAATAATAAAGTAAATTAATAATAAAGATTAATTGAATTAAGGATTGCATTACGATACTATAATAAATTAATATATGTGTTCTGTTTGTCAATAATAAATAAATCTTTATAAATATCAAGTTATGTAATGAATAAACACAAAAGTTAAGTAAAGTAACAATTTATTAATTATACATTTTTGCCAATGATGAGCAAACCTAATGGGCTAGAGATCCATCCGGCGTAGTTGAATCCTGCACTATATGGTGTGGGTTAAAACCCACACCATTTTTCCAGAAGTAGTGATCAATCACTACTTCTGGAAAAATATGTGTGTTGGACTTGTACGCAGGTGTTTGCACCCCTCCCACCCACGCCCTCTGGTGCAAGGCAGGTTCACTACTCCCCAATCTAAACTCCAATCATTGGTAACCTAATGGCTTCGGCGGTGAGGGTTAAGGGTTCGATTCCCACACGGGGCAAGTAGATGTGTAATCTATACATATGTTACGAATCTGGGTGTCCACGTTATTGCACGTAAAGGGAGCTTGCAGCTCGCGATAATGTTATCCTATAGTAAGTCGCGATAATGTTATCCTACAGTAAGTCGCGATATGTTATCCTACAGTAAGTCGCGATAATGTTAACCTACAGTAAGTCGCGATAATGTTAACCTACAGTAAGTCGCGATAATGTTATCCTACAGTAAGTCGCGATAATGTTATCCTACAGTAAGTCACGATAATGTTATCCTACAGTAAGGGCGAAGTTATCAAAACAAAAAAAAAGACTGTAACGCGTCCGTTAGCGATGCTGAGTTTGGAAGCAGCGACTGCACATCGCAAGCCCCAGTCATTGATCTACAAATCAGTGTAGATTTTCTTGTATTAAGCCAAATGACGTGTGAGTACATGTTACAAAGAAAATTTTTCATGTTCCCTTCGCACGTAAAATACAACTTTAATTCGTTTTATCTAATTTAAAAGATAAGACGGAATACCTACCGTTTTCTAAGGATACATTATGAAACGGTGAATAATTCAAACGCTTAATTAATACTGGCCTTTAAGGACTGCTGTTACATAAATATGTATTTTTTTAAACAACATTATTCCTTTGACTAAAACACTAGAATTTAGGTCACCTGATCCCTAATTGATGTTTCTGTCTGAATCTATTATTCAGATATACGCGTAGGCGGTGCCGTCTTAATAATTAATGAGTAATAGACGAATTCTATTTACCTAAAACAAGTGTTAAACTTGAAGCTAATAAAGGTAGCACTCAAGAAAAGGGTTTAATATTTTCTGCGTCTCAATGAGAGAAAATAAATAGCTCTTTTGTTTTTTAAAAATAACGACGACGACGAATCGAATAGCAAAAGTATAATAAACGATCGAAGACGAATAGGAAAAGTATACTTCCACTTCACGCCGGTCTTCAGCGAGGCCTAAAGAGGCCGACCATAGCCTTACCATTCGTTCAAATGCAGAAACTAAGTAGCGATTCACCTAGTCTGATTTCCTGTTTTGGGGTAGCTTAATGCAAAAATATACTTGAAACGAATATGATATGTTTCTAAAAATTGTTTGGAGGAAATTATGAGTTTCGTAGTTTACCGTTTTTCGTAGTAGGTCTGCCGATTTTTCGGTATCGATGACATTTTATTTTGGCCGCTTTATAATTCGAGTGGATAATAATATTATGATAATCAATCATTCGCTTAATTTCAACATTTGTTATACTTATTGCCATGAATCGTGCAACATTTCAGAAGTTGTGTTTTTGAACAATGACGATTGCTTATCAAAAGCTGCTGAAATTGAGGGCTGAGATGAGGGTGGATGAGACAAGACAAGAAGAAAACTAGAAACTGGTTGTACCTGAATAAGACGTCTCCTTTGTAATAATACACTCTCAAAGGGTTGACAGATGTCAGAGCGACGTACACGCCAATGTCGAACTTATGGCCGTCGACCAAGAACGGTTTTTGCACGTACTCTTGAACGAAACTTTCTCCACTTGTCAAGTCTATTTCGCTCACGTTCTTTAGGTGCACACCTCGGTGTTGGTTGTGTTTCTGCAGGAACATTGCTTTTTTATTTCTAGACGCGTACTGGAGGAAAGCGTCTCCGTCCTTCGGCAATTTAAACGCTTTCGGTATGTACTTAGAATCGGAAGTGGCCAAATCGACTTTGTTGGTAATAAATCCCGTACCTGGGAAGTGGTTGACCATCTGATTGTGCTTTAATCTATGCAGGTGTGGGTATAACACGCGGAAAGGGTAGTCGTGGGACCAGAGCAAAGTCCATGGCGTCCGATTCGTGCTCATTTCGTAGCCGATCCTCTCTAAAACCAAATGCACGTGCTTTAACAGACCGCGTCTGCTCTCGACGTCGCTGTGGGTAGAATATACCCAGTATTTACGATTCCCGGTTACATGATCTTTGGACGAGTTGCTACTCGCGCCGTGTAAGTTGTAATTCTGTATTAATAGAGCGAGTAGAACTCCAATAATACACACGAGTAAATATATGTTGGTAAACGGTAAATCGCTCTTGTTAATGTTATCTCCCATAATTCTATTGAAGAAACGTCTTTCTTTTGTGATGTCGTGATTGTTGTCCTTTTCCTTACATTGGTCCTAAAAATAAAAAATAAATGTAATAAGATCTTATTTTCCCAAAAAAATTTTAGATATATTTGTACATTAACTGCGGTAGGGCCACGCAGCAGTCTTCGCTGTTATATGAATGGGCAGATCCGTCCCGGGCAGGGCCGGATTTAGGGCAGGGCAACCGGGGCTACAGCCCCGGGGCTTCAACAAAAGAGGGGTCCCCACAAACATCTATCCATACATCCAAACTTTCGCCTTTATAATATTAGTATGGATGTTTGTTAAATAAATAATAATAATAATTTATGCTTGGTTTCACGATATTGGATTGATAAATTATTTATTGGAAACTTCGACTGAAAAAAATTATTCATTTTATTTGGAAAATAATTTGGAGCCAGGGGTGTGGAGATACTCCTTCGTTGCCTAGTCCTTGAGGCCTCCAGACCTCTAAATGCGGCCCTGGTCCCGGGAAGTACCACAACCTAGAAGAACGGCGTGAAGTGGAAGTGTTATACTTTTGCGTTTCGTCTGGTGAGTGAGGTAACCGGAGCCCACTTCATAGGAAGGTGACAACGCATATGTAACCTTACGGGAATCGCAAATGTTCATGGGCGGAGGTTATTACTTAACATCAGAAGATTCGCCAGCTCGCTAGCAATGTTACACACCAGAAAACAAATAATTGTATGTTAGTATTACAAGTGGAGGCGGTTATCATAGGTGAACTGCCCGGTTGCGAACATTACACATAAAATATACAACTAAATAAGTTTTTTAGGCATTTCCGGGCTTCTCGAACATTGATTTCTTTGATCTATTTTAGCTGAAGTATTGAAACTATTTTCGTAAAGTTATATATTTTAAATGTTGGTATAGCTACGTATTTGTTTGGGTACTATTATGTTCATAAGCTTAAAAAAAATGAGAGAACAACTATTTTTTGAGTTTGCATTTTTTCTTTTGTCATGAGTAACCGATGAGTATGATTTAAAACACTTACATTAGTACGTACCGTACGTAACATATTTAGATGGTTATAATTTGAAGTTAATGATTATGTAAATACGCGTTATGTTTACCGTTAACTTCTATCAAACCTTCAAAGTCACCTTCCGCTAAGAATTTATTTGACAAAGTTGGTAATTACTCGATAAACTATTAATAGCTAGATATGTGTTCTAACTTACCTCTGTAGTTATTCCTGTATTACGTTCCATGTCCTTTGAACTTTTGACTATTTTTTTTAAACAATTATGTGCCACTGTATATATTTTTTGCCGCGAAATTAAACGTTTGTAGTACGCGCATCAGATGACACTATGGTATGAATTGACTTCGTATGGTGTGAGAGCGAGGCAGCCTACACCGCTACTTGATAAGTGAGGGAGACGACATGTACTTTCTAAAATCTCAGTAATCCAACGGCATACCTGCTTTTAAGGTCACATCAGTGCAAATACGAACATAACAATGTAGGTTATACGCGCTTTGCTCGTGTATATCGCAGTTACATGCAATAACGCATTTTTGTATGTTCAATTTAAATAACTTCGTAATTAAGTCATTTACTTTGCATATACGCATTTTTGTATGTTCAATTTAAATAAGTACCGTTTGGTAAGTGTTTTATTTTTCAATCGACTTCGAAAAAGGAGGGGGTTATGTACATAAAATTGTGTCTTGGGCTGAACATACAGCGTGTCGTTACCGTCGCGACAATAAATGAACACACATATAGGGGATAACTTTTTAAAGTTGTATTAAACATTTAAATTCTTTAAACATCAATATTTACAGAGTTATTAAATTTTCCAAAACAAAGAATTTTAGAACACCCTCACCTATAAAAGCGTAACGTAAAGTTCATTTGTAAAGGTCACAAAACATATGAATGGGTTGAATGAAGTTAAAAGAGACAAAATATAGTGTTAGAAGGAGAGGCTTGTAAAACGACGCAGTGGCGTGAGTTGTATAGGATGTTACAAATTTTGTTTCTTTTTTACTTAATTAGTTTGTTTGAAAAATATTTTTTTTTAATTATGGATTTTGTTTAACGTTCATATTTTTTTATGATTATTGGCAAGTAGCGTTAGACGTGTGTTCATTTATTGTCGCGATGGTAACGACACGCTGTATAACTCAAGAAGCTCCTCAAAATCAAAACTAAAAATGTATGGTGAGTGAGATATTTGAAGTCGGTTTTGTTTTTTGTTATTAAAAATGTTATAATTATTGTATTATGAGAATTTTAAATGAGAACACTAGTTGGTAGCTCAAGGATAACAAAGAAAGAAAAACTCTCAAATTAATTTTAATAAAGAGGCCTCGGCCCGATTTTCAATTCATTTACTCTGTCTAGATAAAAATAGCGAATATTACGTGAAAATTTTTTGAAGAAATGTTTGGATTATCCCAATATTCGGGCGAGGTAGACTTCACCTAAAGTTTTCTTTGCCTTTTGCTTTAAAAAAGTTTCGATCTTCGAAGTAAAACACGGGCCTATTCCAATTGTAACTTAAACGCCGACGCACTAAACGGTAGGTCAAGGCTCTTACTGTTGTTGATTTTACAAAATCGACAATCAAAATAGCCTCAAGATGAATTCTGTTACGGACAATCGTTCTGTTAATAAATGGGCTATTCCTGTAAATGTCGAGTATTCTCGTTCAATTGTTTCATTTCTAAGCACCAAGAGCAAGAGGTTTGATCGTAACAAATACCTCAAGACTCACTCAGTGAATTCTGTGACTTTAAATTCGGCATCATATTCTTTATGAGAGGATGTGAAAAACTTGTAAGCTTATTCACCAGATCTTATGTGTAAACACACATTGATCTTGACACACATGGGCCTGCCACAATGAAAAGTGTATAAAACCTTTTCATTGTGGTATAGCTACCCAGCAGCTTGTCTAGCTGCACGAATGGCAAGTTCGATGGAAAGTACTTAGTTTCTTCTACCGTATAAACAATAAAGGCCCAAAACCTGGTTCTATAGAAACTCATAAAAATTACTTGTTTCTTAAAGAACTAGATGATTCCTATGACATGGACAAAAGGTACGCCCAAACTTGATGACTCCGTGGCGCAGTTGCCAAGGTATTGGCTTCGGCGTCCAGGGTCGTGGGTCCGATCCCCACACGGGACAACTATTTGTGTGACCCACAGATAGTTGTTTCGCATCTGGGTGTTTGTCCGCGTGAAATTTATCTTTGTAAAACGTCCTTACAACACAGGATAATGTTATCCTAAAGTAAGGGCAATGTTTTTAAAAAGAAAAAAAAAAAACAAAATTACTATTTTTAGAACAGAAATTTTATTCCCGTGCGAGAATCTAGTCAACAACGTAATGAGTCTACAAACTCTCTTCGGTTGTGCTTTACAACGTAAAGCATGAATTGGTTAGAACAGCATTAGGATATTATCAGCTATGACATGATACAATGTCATAGCTATAGGCTGTGTCCGTAAAATAACTTCGATCCGTCGTACATATTTCGGTAACCGCAAACGTCTCGCGACATTCGTAGTCGAGATGTCTCGAATACCATTGTGAGGCATTCGAGAAATGTGCATGTAGTAACGATTGATTTGGTCGACTTGGTATCGATACAAGTTTATTTGGGAAAACGTTGAACACCACCAATAATGGACGCTTTTGGTTTCGGTATGTAACAAACATAGGGTGCAATCAAAATTATTTTATTCCAATTGCTTTTGAACCATCTTTAAGATGAGGATTCCTCAGAGAAAGCAGAAGATCTCAAAGATTCTTTAAAGTAGGTGATTATTCTTGACAAAGTACATTATTATTCTTTAAAATTTACATTATTCTTTATGCTAGAAGGTGCCAAGCTCCCATGCGATTTAGAGATGCGATGATATGTTGAGATAACTTGCGTTCGTGGATCACTTGTAGAGATGCAGATGCGTTGTTAACCTGCTACCTCACCACCCAGTAAAATAACGAAAATTCTTAATTTTCCTCCAGTTTTCTAATGGCCAGTTGTATCCCGGACGAGCAGACGCGGAAGCTGCTGTTTGGCTCCAAGATATGAGATACAAGGATTATTGTAGCGATGGTTTTTGTGTGCATTTGTTCCCCTTATTTCCGAAGGGGAACAAACACAAGTATCCCCTAAATTGTTTAATGTTCGAACACCTTCAAACGCGGATAAAATCTATTATGGTCATAGGCTTTGATTTCATCCGATTAGGGCTTTGGATTTTTGTGAAAAAAAAATCGTTCAGTTTGAATATTGCAATATAACTGTTTATTTTTGAATTCAAGATTCACTGGAATATTGATTTAACAAACAATTTTCAGACTAAGATATTTCTCTGGTGACTCGCAAAATTCGTTGTCTTAAATATCATTGTGCAATTATTTCATTGATAATTTTTATGTTATAAGTAAATATTTAGTTTATTTACATTTCAAGAAATATTTAAAAAGAGTACTTATTCTAATTGAAATGTATATTCTTGTTGAATTCTAGTTATAGTTATATTGTAATTTGTTGGCAGTTGCATACCATTTTCTTCCCGCCAAAAGATAGAGTGTCTTTGTATTGTGTAGTAGGTGCAATTGCGTTTATAGTATCCACTGTCCAACTCCGAGCACATACTATTTTGCGACAAATTAATTAGTACCAAAATTCACTATTAGTTTGCTACATCCAGTGATATTAAAATAGTGTCCACGTCGATTCAATTAGCCGATAGCGCCTGCGACGAGAGGAGACAACGACATTATGCGTCCCTCACGCCCGGTTTCTGAAACACTGGTCATCGTAGAAGTTAACTAATCATCTGTCAAATGGTTTTTCAAATGTCATTTGAGTTGCTAAAAGGATGGTTAAACTCTCTGAATTGATCAGAATGATCTTCAATGATGAACTTCATGATGAACAAAATGATAAATTCAAAGAGTTTAACTGACATTTGAAAAGCCATTTGGCAGCCGATTAGTTGACTTCTACGATAATCAGTGTTTCAGAAACCGGGCGTCAGTGTAAACAGACTCTTAAGATAATGGTGCAAGCTAAAATGACCGTTGGGATGCGATATCTCCGAATGTTTACTGTCGCGGCAGACAGGCTGGCGGGCGCCGAACACGGTGCCTTGTGTCGAGTAGCTGCCCCGAACCCGTATTTAAATATGAAACGTAAAAAAATTAATTTAATATAAAATTTAAGACTCGATCAAATCCTTTAATTAGTTATTAAGGATAGAACAAACTTCTCCAAAAAATTTAATAATGAAAAGTACTTTACGATAGTTTTTTTTGTAGTGTTGGAGCAGCCAACTTTTGCCCGCTTCTATCTAGCGCTGTATGTTTAGAAATATAACCAATAATTAATAATTATGACACATTTTACTAAGACAGACTTTAAGATGTTTTGAGGTTAAGGATGTTTGACAACTTTGTAATTTACTTTTACCTTTAAAAGTATAATTTTGTTCTATACGTATTACAAAGTCAGATTAGCTATATTCCTGGCTGTCGAAACCTTCTTCGTTGTGAAGTTTTTGCAACATCGAAAACTAATTACTATTTTTCCATACTTCATTAATTAATTGAAAGATATCTATAAAGTTATTAAGTTAAAAATATGTTCTTAAATGACGCTTTATAGACAGATTAAAAAGGTTTACGCAGTACTATAAAATTATAAAAAAAAGACATTACTCGGATTAGATACATTATCAATTGTTTCTTATAAACGTTACAACAGATATGCATCCCCATGATTATACGAATTTGATCGATATTCGATCTCAATGTGGCCAGTTTGTCGAACAATGTTAAACGCTGTCAAATTTAATTAAAAAAAAAAACAAGAAAAAAGAAAAAACCGCGATCGAAATTCAAACGGCTACTTACATCGACGCGCCGCGGAACTTCGCCGACGCGAGCGGCGCCGGGTAGTCTCCGGAGGACATCGATCGCACGCACCCGAATCCGCGCCCGCCAAGCCGGCGCCCGACGTCCGATTGTCTGCTGGACCACCGCAATCGAATGCGCTTCGGCTATTGTGGCTTTATATGCAAGTTATTTATGTATAAACTTTATATATATGACTCTTCTGTACGTGTGTATGTCACTGAACTCATAAACGGCTGGACTGATTTTAATGAAATTTGTGTGTCTCCAGGTCGATTCGAGAATGGTTTAGATTCACAATTCGTCTGTTTTTTTAATTTATAAGTTGTCGGATTTAAGTCACTTGTACAGGACAACGTCTGTCGGGTCCGCTATATATATACGGTCTCGTAAATGCATAGGCTTGTATACATACTAGCAAATCCATACATTAGTGTATAAAGACTAAATACAAAAAGTTTTGGAAATGATTTAAATTATTACCTAAGTCAATACCACTATAAAAAAGGAACTAGGCATTGATATAATTAATTATTATGAAAGATTTCGGTCAAATATATCATGGTAATAAAATAAAAATGAGGTATTACAATAAAAATAACCAAGAAAAACAATTTTAAAGTTTCATCCCTAACGTAATTAGGAGCGTGCTTCAGGCCAGTCTGTGGCCTTCCCCCACAGACTGCCCTATATTCAGCAGTAGACTCTAACAGGCTACATAATAATTATGATCCCTAGTATTTAGTAAACCCCTATGTGTTTATGTCCCACTGCTGGACAACGGCCTACTCTTTACAGGGGACGTTAGAGTCCACCATAATTATGACCCTACTGTAGGCAGACTAGAAAATAATATATTTAATATATGCAGTTTATTTTCTTTTAATTGTTACACTTGTTCCTTCACGATGATTTTCTTCATCACATAGTAAGTGGTAAAGCAGCATTTAAAATTTGTATTAATAATTTATTTGGCGCTAGCACCGATATCAATTCAAATCAATGAAAAAAAGCATAACTCGGGTACTAGAGTATAGGGATTTTTAATGTGGTACCGGACACTGAGTTTTCACAGCTTTTGTAAAATTAATTTGAATAATTAAATAAGTTACGCTTAAAGAGACCTATGTATTAACATTTGTTTAAGTAACATAATATTTCACAAATTAAAACCTAAAACTAAAAACCTTAAAAAAATATAACATAGGTAATAACTAAAATAATATGTTATTAAAAGGAGTCTCTTTAGGCAAGGTTCCGAAGATACTGGCAGCGTTCCCCCTTTGAATAGCGAATTTCACAAATTTCTTTTATTGTCTTGGAAAAAGTTGATTTGTATTGTCGTTATTTAATATCTTATATATAAAAATGGATTGCTGTTCGTTAGTCTAGCTAAAACTCGAGAACGGCTGGACCGATTTCGGCTAATTTTGGTTTTGAAATATTTGTGGCTGTCCAGGGAAGGTTTAAACGATGAGAAATTATGGAAAAATTGCATGGAAAACCGAAATAGCAACAATTTTATTTTACCATACAAACTGTACCTGTCAACTATGTCTGTGTAACCTGTTGAAAACTATGCGTGCATTTCGATTCCTCTAAAAATAATTTATATGGTAAAACAACGTTTCCCAGGTCATTTAGTTTTTAATATAAATTTTTTCAAATAATATTTAGTTGATGCATTATTTCGCAGTGCTTGCAATCTAAGAACGATTTCAAAGTTACAGGATTTACTTAACTTGGGAGAAACCTCAAAATACATTCATCCAAATACTTTCTATGAACTTGTATAAAGATAAATAATGTATAGTTAGATAAACGCGGGATAGCTAGGGGGGGGCATTGTAGGGCAATGCCCTACCTTAAAACCACAATGCCCTACCTTAAAAATACCAAAATAAAAATGCGTAAATATGACCACGTTTTTCAATTTCGTACACGTCTCAAGTGATTTCCCATCCTACTTCGCCGGAATTTGTATATTCTTTCTATGCTGTACCTACTGTGTTCTATTTCATGTTTCTACTCCACTTTATTCAAAGGAGAAATTTGAATTTTTAGGGCTTCTAGGGGAAGATCGAGGAAGCTCATTTTAAAGGTGCCAAACCACAAAACGTAATTTTTTGAAAAATCTTTTATCGTACAGGCTGTTAAACTCTACTACTGCATTATATACTATACTATTGCACAACCTACGTAGTAAAGTTCCTTTACGCCATTGGTTGCCTGGAAGAGATCACTATGAAGTGATACGGCCGCCAAATTGTGAATTCCATTAATTTGTTTGTCTATTGTTAATTTTGTGTATCCTCTTTTGTGTGGTGGACAATAAAGTATTCATTCATTTATTCATTCAAAAAACTAAGATACATTATTGTAATAAAAATTGTAGCGATAGGTATCTCAACTTTTCCGAACATACCACAGTTTGTCAAAATCAAAATAATTTATTTATGGACTTAGGAAACATACATTTCATCTATTCATAGTATTTTTTAATCTACCACCGTTTCATCATGAGGTTCCTCTAACGGAGAAGAAACAGGCGAAAGAAACTCCGCAGGTATCCTCTTATTCGTAATTTTTTTCTTAAAAAAATTAAAATATTATACAACTGTTTTTTTTTCTTTCTTTTAGAAATAGCTTGGGTGCGATCAATCAACTCATTACCAGCGTGTGACATTCATTTCATATTCTAATAATTCTTTGTTCTGTTTACTCGTATAAAAAAAGTACCTGGAGGACCGAGCTTTGCTCGTTTTTTTGGTAAATAATGTATTTTGGAAATATAAATAAAAAAAAAGCAATGATCAGGTATAGAAAAAAAGTAAAAAAAATAAGTGTGTGATCGTGATACGAACCGCGGCTGTCTGTTTTGGGGCCGCCCGATTACCGATCGAGCTATTATAAAAAATTTTTTTGCGGCGAAATTTACCGTCATATTCGAATGATATTTTTCATTCCCTGAAAACAGAGATAAAAGGACATTTTCTAAAAATGAAACAGCTAGATCGATGCTTCGCCCCCGAATCCACGCACATACTAAATTTCATGAAAATCGCTGGAGCCGTTTCCGAGATTCCGATTATATATATATATACAAGAATTGCTCGTTTAAAGGATAAAGTAATAATGAAATAGGCATTTGAATGATGATGATCTAATCAATTCGATTGCAAGTCTCGATGAGTTGGATGTAGATAAAATGCTTCCACTGAAAAGTTTGGGTAAGTTTAAAAAAATCAATAATAATTCAAGTAGCCTAGTGTGGTTAAAGTTTACTTGAATCGTAACAAGGACAAAATGGAAAATAAATTGCAAGTGTTGTACAGGTAACGAGAGGCGTTTAAAGATACATATGAACTTTTTGCATCTGTGGCGACCATAGGATGTAGCACTGCAGTGTGCGAATCTACGTTTTCAACTTTAACTGCAATCTAGGCTTCAAAGGCTGTCAATGGGTCACGAGAGAATGGCTGGTATGGTATTAAGAAGTTCTTCGCATTTTTAATAACGAAAAATTCAGCTGTTTTAAATATTTTTATTATTATGTTAATTATTATAATAGGTCTGCAGAAACAATTTGATATAAGTGGTATTTTTGGTCGTATCATCTCATCCAAAAATTAATTATTACCTCACTCTCACTCAGACGTGGATCTCTACATCCAAAGCTGGAAGTTCAACCATCTTGTTCGCTTATTCTTCATCATTAAGGATTTAATAGTGCTTAAATCCATTGCTCATGTTCTGTCACAGAAATTATTTGTCTACGAATAGCTATTGAACTGACCTAGAGGTCAGTGATATACATGATGATTGATTTAGGAGCTCATGCTAGTTAGGGCAAATATCCCTTTATGGCCAGCCGCTCCCCTGGGAGAAAAAGGTCAAATACTTAGGAGTCACTTTCGACTCGCGTATATCATTTAATACGCACATTAATAACGTTCGCAATAGAGCCGCATTCTTCTCCGGCCGGCTACACAATTTAACTAACGCTAAAAGTAAAATGCCCTTAAGGCACAAATTATTATTATTATATAAGACCTGCGTACGATCTATTATGTCCTACGCATGCATGACCTTCGCCCACACTTGTACTCGCTTGTACAAGTTGCAAATAGTACAAAATAAGTTCATCCGCCGCGCAACCAGTACGCAGTGGTATCAACGCAACGTCGACCTGCACAGCGATTGCAGACTCCCCACGATTCGCGAATATTTTAAAGACCTGACCAAACGGTGCTTCGATAGAGCCGAAAATCATCCCAACCCTCTGGTGGTAAGCGCAGCAAATTACCAACCCGACACAAACGCGAACGTCAACAAGCGTCGCCCGCAAAACGTCGTCATCGACCCGAGCGACGAAGAGGACTTAGAAACGATGGACCCACCTCTGGGGGTCCCGCCGGATAACACTACACCCACAGTTAATGCAACAACAAACACACTAGTTCGCCCTCGCCTCCGAGCACGGAGAGCCCAACACAACGCGTACACAAGGTACACCCGCGTTCCGGGGCGGTTCTCACCACTCCCAGCCACCGATTAGCTAAATGTACAGTCGACGGCCATCGGGGTTTCGGTCCGAACCGCGACCTCGATGGCCCTTAGATGACACACCATACTTAAACGCACACATGAGCACATGCGTGGCCCTACCCACAGCGGAGGGCCCAAGGCCCACGGGTTCTGGCTAGCCCACCGGTTCTGCGTCAGATGAAGCTTTAATAGTCTCGGGGCTGAAAGTAAAAACATCAGTTAATACAAGATACAAGAAGGAGCTCATGCTTCGAGGGCAAATCAATTATGATTAATTTAATTTAATTGTTTACTTCCGCCCTACATGTAATCAATGCTGCCCTACCTCAAATTCAACTCTAGCTACAGCCCTGTAGGTAAATCATATCAATCTCTAAAATAGCAATGCTATTTTCAAAAAAAAAATTATATTTGCTTTACATGTCAAAATCAAGGGCCAAAAATTAATATTTACGGACGGTACAGAAAATTCTTTTCGACCAAATATGCTAATGGGCGAAGTAATAGTGTGAAAGTATTTAGGATTTATTTCTATACGAATAATGTAATGCGACCTTCAAAAATTTCAAGTGGAAGAATAATACTTGAGACGTGTGCACACCAAGGAGATGGAATAAGTTTAATTCTCAAACAATATGTACTCTTTGAAATTAATTGGTTTTACCAAACGTAACTACTTTTGTAAGAAAATTTAAAGGTAAGAAAATAGAAAATTTTAGACTTTCCCGCTTTTGGTGACGCAGCCCAAGTTGAATAACGTGATCTACTTCCATCAGATGGATTGAATCGAAGTGTTCAAGAGAATATTTGCATGTGTCTCTAGGTAGTTCGCTAGATCCACGGCACCATCACGTAACGAGCGAGTTAGGTTTTCTCAGGAGACGGACGTTTCGGAAGGTATCCGTTTCGAGGCCAAAGCGGAATGCCACCACTGTGACTTATATGACGAGGAGGCGGCCGAACAGGTGCTGGAAAAGTGTCGAGCCTGAATGGAGCAGCATTGCAAGGAGCGAAGTGTCACTGCCTGCCGTGTTCCGGCTATTTTGACAGCGAGAGGGCGTGGGGTAATGTCCTCTCATATAACAATGACGTAATCACCCGGAATGAGGCCGCGGAGAGATTTAGGGACCAAACTGTGGTAGGACCACGCAACAGTCTTCGTTGTTGCACGAATGGCCAGGTCCGTCCGGGTAAGTACGATGATCTCACAGAATACCGGCGTTAAGTGGAAGTGTGACACTTCTGCGTTTCGTCTGGTGAGTGAGGTAGCCGCCCACTTTATTATAAGGTGGCAACGTATCTGCAACTATACGGAGGTTGCAAATGTAAATGGGCGTCAGTTAACACATAAAATCAGGTGAACTTGCTACCTTTTCAATTAAAAAATAAACAACTACCGCCCTGGTTATCCATCGCCAGAGACCAGGGCGCAAAAGGCTGACCTACGCGCGCAATCTTCCTCACTGACAGTCAGACTCCGAGCGGTAGGCATGAGCCATAGTCATCACAGCTACACACATTGATTGAAGACTTTTGTCTTCAAAGATTGAGGGATATTACCATATTATTTAGATATATTAGTCAATGGATAATAAATCTCATGACGATCAGTTGGTGTTAAAATTTTTCGAAAAAATATTTTAGTTATTGTTATAATCGTGTTGTAGCCGTTTAAAGATATTGTTATACTCCGTTTCATTTGATATCGTTTACAGTAGGAATGTACACGTATGGACACGTCTCGAATATAATATGTGCCCGTTTATCGACGTCCAATTGGATTAGTGTACACGCACCTTTATAATAATTTAGTATTTCGCATTCCAGCAAAGGTTGACACGGTGTAATAAATTATCCGCGCGGTCGTTGACCCGCCCGAGCGATGTTTGCGAATGAGCATGGTCGTTTTAGTATTCTTTATTCGAAGCACAATAGTTGTTTCCCACAACCCCAGGCCTTCTAGGGCCTTTCATTCTTCTGCTACGCCAACGTTCGCAACTTTGACCTTTACAGTTCGACATGTGTCATGTCGGAGTTTTGACTCGTAACCGTTTGCATTTATGCGGTTAAATAGGAGTGTTTCGTGTTTTATTTTTTCATACCTTTGGTTTACAGTCTAAGAATCGATTTTGTGTGATGCAAATACAATCAACTTAATTAATAATAATTAATATAATTAAATTTTTGCTAAAGCAATAACCTTATTAAGATGCCGATTATATTTTAAAGAACAATTTGGGTGGAAATTGTTTTTTTAAGTCTCCAAACTGCAAATTTAGTATTATTTCGTTGAGCCCAAGTTGGGTTTGTCCAATACAAAAGTAATGTTTACGGCATCAGTTTCTTTTCGGTTCTTCTCTAGATAGATCGAATTTCTGAATTAACACAATTAAATTTATATGAGCGCTTAAATATGCCTGTATTCAACTGCTACGCAGCTACGTCATTAGAAAGCTCTACAAAATGTTCTGCGTTATAGTAACGAGACATCTACAAAAATGTTGCACAAATATCTTACCCATTGCAAATATTTTTGTGCAATAGTTATAATCCGTTTTAAATTGTTTTACTTTGCGCCATAAAAAAATCAACAGTCTCTTCTCTGCTATCCGAAGTGATTGCTAAAAAAATTAATAATTATGTGCCGAAAATGGATGAATAAAAAATATTTGCCTCCAAGATTCTATCGAAATAATTCAGGAAAACATTATCTAGGTATACTATTATTTAGATTATGTTATAAATCAATCAAACCAAAACACAGCAAAGACACTGTGCTAAATCTATCACCACTCGACGATTTTCTAATAGCCTTCTTCTATGGCGTCTTTAAGTTTTAACGGCAAAATATAATAACTTCTTATCATCATTGACGATCAATATATTAAAACTATTATTGTTTATTAATATTTAAGAGAGCCAATCGCTAACTTAATCAATCTAAGTGTTCTAACCTGCGTAGCCTTAACTTTAATTTGCCATCTTATAGGTTACTTCAGGTATATTAGACGTCCTAAAAGTTGAAACGTCCAGCACGTCGAACGTAGCAACGTTTTCCCGAGCCGTGAATCATGACCGTTTAAAAAACTCACCCCAACCCCTGACGGTATATAAATGGCTGGAGTTCCCTGTGACGAGTCAGTTCGTCGCAGACCGCGGGAGGGACTAGGGTAGCGCACTGACTACGGGAAGGGGAAACTTTTTACGTGACCGCTTCGAGAAAATTTTCCCACGTGAGGTAAGGAGAGCGCGGTATATCTGCTGGTGTTGTTGATTAGGCAGTACTTTTTAATTCATTTGCAGTTTTGATCGTAGACACGTTTGCATCGTTTAAATGTGTGCGTTTAATTTTCAAAGATGGTATCTTTAAAGGGTAAGATGGTATCTTTTCTTTTATTTAAAAAGTATAAAGAATAATTAAAAAAGCGATTGTTTTGACGTTAGTTATTAATAAAATTTTTGTTATAAAAACCAAATTTTAATTGGGTTTGCTACGCTGGAATGTCGACGTTACGAATATATAGAATATAAAGAAAAATATTTGAGTGTACTATTTAAATTTCCATTTTTGGAATACTTTTTCAGATTAATAACATTATTTAGCCGTTCTTATATTTGCTTCATTTTTTTAAGATTTAAATACATTTGTTATTAAAACATCATCTTAAATTAAGCATCTTGTATTATAAATCATCAGCTATCTTAAATTAGTGATATATTCATAATGATACCTAATTGTAATGTTTTTTTTAATTGTTATATAAATATATTAAATATCTTATATTTTAACGACATTAAACATTACTGAATAAAAAATTCGTCCATCATGCGTCAATAATTGTTAGAAACGTTTACAATTTCGGCAACCATATCGACCTTACGACATTAAAACTTCGCGTAAAATGTGATCAAAGATTTTTTTTAAATTATCTCCCCGATTTCTTTACCCTTGTTATATAAGAAAGACTGTCCGTTAATCTTTATACTACTGAATAAAATTACTTATGTTACATTGTGCTTAAATCTTTATAGTGAATTAAATGGTAGATGTTTTTTGTAATACACGCCAGAGTCGAAACCCATGGGATTAGAAATTTGAAATTTTAGCAGAAAGTACTTTTTAAATCGACGGCACGTTAAGAATACATTTTCTTAATTCTACCCATAAAGGGCTTCTAATAGTGGATGTAACATGATTCACCAAGTTCAAGTGGAAAAATACATCGATATTTCGCATTTTGATAAGAAATTAAGAAACATAATTATAGTTAAACCATTAGGATGGTGAAATAGATGATAGTTCTCCGTTTAGAAATATACGCGGATGAAGCCGCGGACGCAAGCTAGCGACCGATAATTCTTTTTAAAACACATGCCATTCATTAGATAGCGAAATTGACGTCCACAAAGGGTCTATTAATTGTCCGGGCAACACGAATTCCACCTGTATCTATTTTGCGTGACGCGAAGATATTTACATTGCCGTACGCGGAAACTAGATCATCCGTCCGACAAGAAACCCGATTAATAACGTTAACTCTCAATCGAATGTGACAAACGAACGTTCTGGAATGTCAAAATGGCGCACGCGAATCGATCGTCAGTCATATGCGATTTTCTCCTAATTACTTTGGTATGTTTATGTGCAAGTTAGTGGTGGTTATATATATTAGCCACTTAAGTGTCTCCCTTTACTCCACTTTACTGAGGGACTATTTGACGATATATAATACATGATATTATATTATATTATGTGATATATCCTTTTGATTGTATCAAAGGAAACATTTTTGTTAAGATACAATCAAAACTCTCGGCGGTCAAAAATTCAAAATCGTAAATTAAAAATCTTAAACCAAACATTGAATGATAGAAGTAATAGAAAAAAGCTGGCCAAGTGCAATTCGGATTCCTACAAGAAGGGTTCCGTATTATTATCTATCAAAACGGCAAAATAAAAATCATGTCTGTTGTATGAGAACCCTACTTAAAGATTTGTATTAGTTGTTATAGCGGCAACTGATATACATCATCTGCGAAAATTTAAACTTTCTAACTATCATGGTTCATGAGATACAGCCTGGTGACAGACGGACAGATAGACAGACAGATAGCGGAGTCTTAGTAATAGGGTCCCATTTTACCCTTCGAGTACGGAACGGAGTGTGTGGTATTTCCAACATATGTGTTACGATTCATCCGGTTCATCTGGGGAAGTGCTACGACCTCACAGAAGAACGGCGTGACGTGAAGGTATTCGGTTCTAAGATTGAATAACGGTACAATTAGCATGGGACCACCTGAGATCTAAATAGAACCCAATCCAAAAATAATAATTAACATAATCTAACTAACCGTTAATGACTGAGTTCTCAACCTCCACTTTTTTCATTATTATGGCAAATTTGGAAAATTTCTACTCATGTCTTTTTTTTTAATTCGGAACCGGCCAGTGTTGAATGCACCCAGCCGAAGGTAAGTCATCCGATGACGGTAGATTCGCTAGCTCAGTAAAAGCCTATTCGCTCTTGCCTTGAATGCGAAGGACACCTTTTCCATGTTTATGTAAACTGGCAGTTATCTGCGACTTCGCCCGAGTGCAGTTTAACTAGTTTAGTTCGTAAAATACACAAATAAATGACCTATTATACTAAATATATTAACACAAATTAAATAGTAAATTATGGTAAAAATAATATTAGTGATAAACCCCGTTGAAAAAGATTGAGACATCTTGGAAATAACTGATCGATAGTAATAATAGCAATAGTAACTTCTAAATAGTTCTCTGGAAAACGTACCGTGTAAACATTTCTATGAATTCACTAAGAACTGTTGTTTTGACATTAATTTACATTTTACATTTTTTATTTACCCCGTCCAGCATATGCATGAACTTTACAAAATACTTCTACAGTTTTTACTAAACGTGTTTCAGAAAGAAAAATTGGAAAGTTAATGAGTGTCAAAGTATTACATCGATCATAATAAGGCGTTGCCTGCTTGGGCAGAGAGAGCAAAAGTAATGTATTAGGTAATTAAAATATTTAGTTTGTATGAAAATGTGTCCAATCCATGTGGTCGGATTAACAAAAGAACTCGGCATATGGATAGTTAAAGACGAAACATTTTAATATTTTTTAACCGACTTCAAAAAAGGAGGAGGTTTTCAATTCGACCGTTTTTTGTATGTGTGTTCCCTCAGAACTTTCAACTAATTGAACCGATTTTGATAATTTTTTTTATGTGAAACGTTGCCAAACAAGCAGACGGGTCACCTGATGGTAAGTGAATACCGCCCATGGACACCTGCTACACCCGAGGGTTACAGATGCGTTGACAACCTTTTGAAAATTGGGCTCCGGCCACCTCACTCACCAGACGAAACGCGAAAGTATTTGTCATACTTCCACTTTGCGCTGGTCTTCTGTGAGGTCGTGGTACTTACCCGGACGCATTCGTGCAACAGCCGAGGCTGTTGCGTGGCCCTACCGCCTTTAAATAATTCTTTTTTTATTTGAAAGCTGGTTTTTCCGATGTGGTCCCATATTAATTTCATTGGTATTGGATTTTAGGTTCCGGAGATATTAGTTATTTTTCATTAATTGAGATTAGATTTCCGTTAATAAAAAAATATTTTTTATTTTTTCTGTTTGTCAAACACTTACTTTACTAAGGGTGAATTTAAATGTCGATAACAAATAAAAATTAAAACAGTCAAATTTCTTTTTAACCTTTATCAACCGACTCCGGAGATACGTAGGGAACTCCTGAAAATCAATTATAAAATGAATACAGAGCGAGATATTTGAAGTCAGTTTTGTTTTTCGTTACTAAAAAAAATTGACTTGTTACTGAACTGTTTTGTACTCTAAGTAAATATATAGCCGAAAGTATACATTAAAAAAATTTAGAAGAAAGAATAGCACATCCAGACAGACGTCACTGGCGCTGTTTTAGGCAAATACGAAGCCTAGATCTGCCATCGTTTGAACATTACCGACACTTATTGCTATTGCTACCGATTCGTCTTGAAATAAGAATAATCGAAACGACGTGTCGCGAGTAAATTCTGGCATTATGTTTTCCTACCGAATTTTATCTTCGACAACTATAATGCCGATTGTTAGAAATGGGTACAAGAGACAATGATATTATATACAAATATAAGATAGAAACTAAGGCGCTCAAATTATGCCAGTTGATGTAATTATATTGCAATTCTCTAGACTGCTATCTGTTTCCGTATTATACGTTCTTTATCATCTGTCACATTCACTATATATGTCATATAATGTAAAGCGGAACAATTATTAAACGCCGCGCAGAATGGATAATTATGCTTCATCTATATTATTAAACATCATTGAAATTCACTACTTTTACAATAGCCCAACTTTCCTAATCTCAGCATCCTAAGTCTATTGTAATAAACTAACTATTTACACCTTACCATCATGATAAAGAAATGAAATAGGTTCGTGCACAAATGCGTATCTGCGAAATGTAACTTTTAATGTTCTTCTTAAGGGTCGTCTTTGTAAACGATTATCAACTCCTTTATGATCCGATCTAAATTCGAATAAATTTATTTTTAGATTGAATGCAACATTCTATAATATTACTAATAAGCACTACACTGGTATGTGTGTATTAGATGGGCCTTCTAATAGGCTCATATAATAATTTGCGGTAACATTACAAGAGAAGCTTAGAAGATTTTTCCATGTGTACTAGATAATTGATAAAAATAATTACCTACATTATTTTATAAATTAAAATATATCTAATTTATTTATGGCAACTTTTTTCTGTTAATGTTTGTTAATATTACATCTATATTTCTGCAATGACTAAATAAAATGAATATTGTATACATCGCACAATGTTTTTCAGTAGTGGGGATCAAACCCACACCCTTCGGAGCAATTGAAATATTAACTATCCACTGCGCCAATAAAGCAGAAGGATGTTAGAATGTTTCATTATTATAGTTTCATTATTATATTAATCTTATATTGGCTTCAAACAGCTTTACTTAACAACGCGCTGAAATTGGCATTTGATCAATATAATTAATGTTGAAGTAATTTAATTGATCATTATACAGCGTGTCTTTACCATCGCGACAATAAATGAACACACATATAGAGGATAAGTTTTTAAAATTGTATTAAAGATTTACATTCTTTAAACATCAATGTTTAACGAGTTATCAAATTTTACAAAACAAAGAATTTAAGAACACCATTACGTATAAAACTTTAATGTAAAGTTCATTTGTAAAGGTCACAAAGCATATGAATGGGTGGAATGAATTTAAAAGAGACAAAACATACTGTTAGAAGGAGAGGCTTGTAATGCGGCGCTGTGGCAACCAATGAAAAAGTCTCTGAATGTATGAATCAGTCAGTTGTAGTTGTATAGGTGTTACAAATTTTGTTTCTTTTTTACTTAATTAGTTTGTTTGAAAAATATTTTTTTTTAATTATGGATATTTTTTTATGATTATTGGCAAGTAGCATTAGACGTGTGTTCATTTATTGTCGCGGTGGTAAAGACACGCTGTATAATAGTTAAATTGATGAAATTAAATTATTATGCCGTCAAGGAATCGAGGAAACCAGTTCCTAGTTGTCCGTTCTGGAAAGAAAGACAATTGACGATAATTTAAAATAATTGAGAAAAAGAAATTGCTCAATGTGTGAAAGATTATTTAAGAAATTGATAATTAAACTCTCATGTTAATTTGACAGGCAATAATACATAATGATTTCTTTCCTACATTATAAAGTTCAATTTCAATTTTCTCCTCTGTTTGACAGTCGATTTTTTGTCAAGTAACAAAGTATGAGCGTTGGTGTTATCATTAAAAAATTCTCAATAATGATTATGGTCGAATTTTGACCACAGGGGTAACACTGGCCTTATTTACAAACTGTCGATACGGAATTAAATAGTCATCATATTTTTAGTATTTTGTTTAACGTTTTGGGTATTTCTGCAAACAGACAATTTACTATTAATGTTCTCCATTTTTCTCATCATATTTTTTAAAATATGCAGTCACAGATCACAGCGGCACGTGTGCTTTCGGCGGGAAAACAGCTGTCACGAACCGTCAGCTCTGAGGGAAATGCACCGGCGATAAATACGTACACGAATCACATCCAGCCCATTAATAGGTCTATAAAACACGCGGCCTGACCCAGATGCATTTATTTTGCGGCACACATACCGCAGGGCGTAAAATAACAGCCCGGTTGGCCGTCGCCTTGCGGCTCACAGGGTCGCGTGCGATGCTATCCAGTATGATCATGCTTAGCTCCATTTGCTAAGGGTCGGACGACGGTTTTTGCCGGTAAAGGCCTGTGCACACCGGTTGACGTGTGCCATATAATATATGTTAGCTCTTGCTGATTTCTTTTCTCTTAGCGAACGAACGTGGTTGTTTCAACGTTTTACGTGTCGAGAGATTTTTAACACATTTGAGATTACCGTGATCTGTCACGGAATGGTATTAAAGCGGTACAGCCTATTGCGCTATCATTCGTTTAAACAAACTGTCAATAGATGGCCTTATCATATATTAATTCATTTAGGAAGAGCAACTGTTGAGTTTCTTGCCGGTTTCTTCTCAACAGAAACTGCTTTCCGAACCGGTGGTAACTTACGAACGTGTTAATTTCTTGTAAAATTTTGACGTTTCATAAGAACGCGCAAGCGTCTATGTGAATAAAGATATTTTATTATTAAAAATAAGAAATTTACGAAAGTTTATTATGACAGCGTTAACCTAATTCTAGTTTTTTTTTCCATCAATTGTGGAAACAATAAGCTTTAAAATGATATTTGAAAAAAAAAAAAACACCTTCGAGGTATAAGTTTTATTATACAGTATAGAAAACGTCATCGTCATAATTATATAATTGCTTTTTCTTTATTATATAGGTATAAATATATAGGTATGAGCTGTGATAGTTGTGTCCGGGCGCTCGCCTTTAATTTAATATATACTCGAGCAACCTTAGTTCGATCCCCGGTGCCGGCACCAATGAAGTTTTTAACTTTAAGTGCTGAATTATCACGTGCTCCGCGGTGAAGGAAAACATCGTGAGGAAACCTGCATATTTCCGAAATAATAACAAAAAAAATGTATTTCGAAAATATGTGAAGTCCGCCAATTCGCAGTGGGGCCGCGTGGTGGACTATGCCCTGATACCCTCTGTATAGAGGAGGCCTTTGCCCAGCAGTGGAACATGTATAGGCTGTTACTTTACTTTTTTACTTTTATATAGGTATATAGCCAGATATATTTATGATGAATCAAAAAAGGACGGGTTGGAATATTGAACAAAACTGCTCATACATAAATATATTTTTTTTTCATGTGAAACATCTATAGCCGCACGTAAAACCGATCTCTAGCGTGGCGACGCGTCGCCACGGCATGCGACCCAAACTTGGCGATTTGTGTGCTTCACACGTTAAACTAGAAGATGGAAGTTAATTGATGATGATTGTAGTGTACATTTCTCCTGCTAAAAAAATAAATGACATCATTTCATATTTTCATGTTATGTCCAATACTTTTGTAACATACTTCAGTTACCATCGACCAATTGTCACAGTAATACTGTCTTCAGAGGCAACATCGAATATAACTATTACCGAAGTCACTGATTAAACGAATAAAGTATTCACGATTTGAAATTGAAATAAATTCATAAATTTTTGTATTTAATGAAAATAAATGTTTATTCAATAGATAGTCATCGTTATCTGGAAAAAAATTCGTAATATTTTATTTTATCATTATGACATATTTAGTTCCTATCACAATCTGTTCTTTTCTGCATATTACTTTTACAAAATAATGTCTATGCCAGGCGTCCCGTGACGGCTCATTTTTTTATTTCTTACAAATATAGACTTTAATACAAATCAGACAGTCACGGAGTTTGTAAATCCCAAAAAAAAACTACGGTTAGTAGTAGACTAGTCGCTCCTTTCACAGTTTAAACCGTAGGCTTTCGCTAAGATAAGATGATCCGTTGTTGTAGTAAATGTTCGATTGTAAATGAAAATGATCGAATTTCATTACTTTGAAAATACTTACTTCATGTTCTTTCTCCAGCCCTTATAAGTTCTCACGTGCTCGTAACGGTATTGGATAGGTGGTGGTATTTTTGTGTTATCAGTTTAATTTATTTGTGGTATTTTTACGGCCAGCCATCTGCCTGACGTCAACTCTCCTTGGAAGCAAACACCCAGATCCGAAATAATGATCTTTGATACAAATGCTAGTTCCGTGCGGGAATCGACCCCACGGACCAGCGACGCCGAAGCCATCGCCCTAGCAACTGCGCCACTGAGTAAAAATACTTCACTAAAATAAAGTTAATCAATCATTTAAAGAATCAATTTAATGGCGAATGCAATTGACCTGGTGGTTTATTAATTTTTTGTTTTATTTTATGGAATAAGGAGGCAAACAAGCAAGTGGGTCGTCTGATGATAAGCGATCACCGCCGCCCATTGACATTTACAACATCAGTTGAGTCGCAATTGCGTTGCCGGCCTTCAAGGTAGGAGTAGGCTCTCGGTGGACCGCCAACCGTCAAGGTGGTGTCGATGGTACGTGGTGGTTTGACGAGTTGTACGATGTGAAATTCACCAGCAGGTATCAACCGAACAATTCCTCAGAGCACTCCCCATGATATATCCGATAGAAAATGCAAAGGGATGCAACATCCCTTCGCAAGGCCAAAGGATCGAGGCGATCGGACAGAATTTGGTCGTCGACGATTAAATAATAATTATTAAGTTCTATCTAGCAATTTACATCAAAATCTATCTCTTAACAATGGTGGATTATGTTTTATTATCTCAGTTCTCAAAGTCAAAGTCGAAATTAAAGGTGGACGCTCATATGTATAGCGAAGGAATAATTAGAATAGTTATATGGTTGAAAAGCTTATTAAAATAAAACGATGCTTTATGTATGATCTTGAACATAATCAAGAGAGCGGAACTGAAGTTTTGAGCTAATTTTCCATGTGACTGTGTCAACAATTTTTTTTGCTTGAAATTTGAGACACCTTCTTTTTATTTTCAGATGAACGTGGGTTCGCTGCTGAGGTCATGATCTGGGCTCTGAGGCTCCAAGGGTTCATCGTTGGACTATCAGTCGCGAAAGTTTTTACAATAACATTATCTGAAGTGGTGCCCGGCAATCACGGCGATTGAGTCGAAATTTACCAGTGATCATTAGCTTTCCTTTAAAACTTTAGGTGAATGAGAATTTGGCGAGCAGTTGTTCGCACGGCCACCGCGGCACGTGTCCCGCCATGCGTGTCCGAGCGGCACGGCCACAAAGCCGAGCACGCGTGACGGTCACGGTCGCGCAGTCCACAGCCATGGGCGCCCACCGCGCGCACTCTGCCGAACCCATCCTCTCCCTCCCCTGGTCGCGATCGCCGGGTCACAACGAGTCATTTCGCCGTAGGTAGGGACGTAGGCCAGCGGCGGCTGCGTGCTCAGCTAACTAAAAGTGTTTGTTCACAGGCGAGACCCTAAACGGGCAGCGACTGATAGAATTCCGATTGGGACATGAGGCGGAGAGCGAGCAGGGCCTGGCGGTGGCGCGGGCCGAGCTCATGGTGCGCGCCGAGGTGCCGCGCGCCCGCCGGCCGCGCTACACGCTGTGGGCCTTCACCGTAACGGGCAACGGCAGCGCGGCGAGGGTCGGACCCTTGGCCGGGGCGACGCGCGGCGCGGCGCGCGCCTGGCAGCGGCTGGACGTGACGCGCGCGGCCCGCCGCTGGGCGGAGGGAGGCGCGCGCGCGCCGCTGCGGCTGCTCCTCGACTGCAGCGGCTGCGCGGGGCGGGTGCGGCTGCGGCTCGGCGGCGCCGCGGCGGCGCGCCCCCTGCTGCGGCTGACGATCGCCGGCCGAGCGCCGCGCCGCCGCCGCGCGCTCGACTGCGACGCGGCGGCGCGCGGCCGCTGCTGCCGCCAGACCTACTACGTGAGCTTCCGCGCGCTCGGCTGGGACGACTGGATCGTGGCGCCCGAGGGCTACTACGCGAACTACTGCCGCGGCGCGTGCGCGCCCTTCCTCAACTACCACGCGCAGGTGGTGGAGGCGGCGAGGTTGGAGCGCGCCGCGTGTTGCGCGCCCGTGCGCTTCTCCGCGCTCTCGCTCATCTACTTCGGCGCCGACTCCAACATCATCAAGCGCGACCTGCCCGAGATGGTGGTCGAGGAGTGCGACTGCCCGTAGCGGCCGCGAGTAGCCCCGGAGCCCCTCCCCCGCCCCACCCCAACGCCGCCGCCCCGCCCGCGTCGCGCCCGCCCCGCTCTGCGCCGCTAACGCCGCGGCTCGCTTTTGCCGCTCTCGAATCCGATTTACTCCGAATCGTTAATCGATTATAAATAATATTCTCGACTTGTGTAACATTTTGTTCCTCGCGTTCGAAAGACTATAACCTAACTCGCGGCGGGCGGGTGCGCCGGCCGCGAACGCTCCCGCGCACCCGCCCCCCTTATTTAATACGCCATTTTGTTTCACCCCATTTGGTGATCGCTTGTAATTATTGTAAACTGTATTATAATAATTATTATAATTATAATTATAATAAATCAACTTTTTCATAATTATTACCTGTTCTTTTTATTTATGTCATGCCTGACCTAATTTTAGAGATTTATAATAATATAATGGAAGATCAGAATTGTATTAATAAGCAAAAACCAAGACTATATTTAATGTCAATCTTTAGACAAATACTGGTCTCAATTTAATAAATAAATAAATAATTTTTTACAATTCTTGAGACGTGATCAAGAATAATTTACCATGGAGTTCTGGGGAAGAGCCCTACGACGCCCGTACTCAAACATCCATCATTCATCAAAAAAGGAGGAGGTTTCTCAATTCGACCGTATATATTCTTATTTTTTTTATGTGTGTTCGTGGATAACTTCGTCGTTTATGAACCGATTTTGATGATTATTTTTTTTGTCGGAAAGCAGATATCCCAAGGGTACCATGATAAGAAAACCCGGATCTAATGATGGCATCCCAGAGAAATCGATCGCAATCCTTAAATGTTATAGGTATTAACAATGTTTTAGTTTCCTGTTTGAAGTCGGTTTTTATTTGTTAAAAATTATTTTATTTGTTAAAAATAAAACATGTAGAAAAAGTACAAAAAGATTGTCGCCGCTGTGTGAATCGAACCCACGTCTTCGGCATTCGCGGCCTGATGCTCTAGCCACTGAACTAATCAGCAGTTTAGTTTAGCCACAGCCACGAAAATCTTAACGCCTTCTTTCTACATTGTTGTTTAGCATTTGAAGCAATGCTTGGCGCATCTATTGTTATATCCTTTCCAGCATACAAACAATTTCGAATATCGTTTTACAACGATAATATAAATACTAGGAACAAAAATAAATTGATCCTACCCACAAGTAGACTCCTTAAAATAAGTAAATCTTTTATGGGACAATGTATACGTTATTACAACAAAATTCCAGAAAACGTTCAAAATGCATCAATAGCTAAATTTAAAAAAATAGTAAAAGAACGTTTGTGTGTTAAAGGCTACTATAATATTAATGATTATTTAAATGATAACACACTCTGGTAATGAACTGATCGCTCCAGGCTCTTTCAATCGGAGTTCTTATATTGTATTTTAACGAATTTATGTCAAACTGCTTATTTAAAAAAAAAGCCCACTGAGTTTCTTTCGCCGGTTCTTCTCAGTACAGTGGCTTTCTTTTCCGAACCGGTGGTAGTGTTTTGACTATCAATAAGTGAGTGTAATGCTCCTATGTTGAATAAATACATTTGATTTTGATTTTGATTTTAATGCGAACGAGAGATGTCGCCATTGCTTTTTATAAATTTTAAAGTTTTTTTTTATAGTGCTAATCTCTGCACTTAATATTGAACATTAAAACATGTAGAAAAAGTACGAAAAGATTGTCGCCGCTGTAGGAATCGAACACACGTGTTCGGCATTCGCCCTCACCGTCATGGTGAGGGCGATCTGGGCGAAATGGGGGTGGTATGGCCGGAGTAATGAGGCCAGCCCTTAGCACTAAGTCTTGACCAAGGCGGAATTACCTGATGTAGAGCAACGCAGCAGTCTTCGCTGTTGCACGAATGGGCAGGCTCGTCCGGGTAAGTACCACGACCTCACAGAAGGCCCGCGTAAAGTGGAAGTATAATACTTTCGCGTTTCGCCTGGTGAGTGAGATAGCCGGAGCCCAATATTCAAAAGGTTGTCAACGCATCTGGAACCCTCGGGTGTAGCAGATGTTCATGGGCAGCGGTATTCACTTAACATCAGGTGAACCGTCTGCTTGCTTGGCAACTTTTCATATTAAAAAAAAATCTTCTAGAAAATCTAGAGGAAGTGCCCGAACCATTCAAATATATTTTTCCACCTTTTAACATTCGTAGGAATTTGATCTATAGCAATTCACCAAGACCAATCATTAGCTAAGCGTTTTCTGTGAATGTATCATCTCATTGGCATTTTAATTATTTTTCGACGTTTAGATTTCCCACACAATAATAATAAGGCGCCTGTACTTGTTCCCATTTGCCGTAAAAATGGCGCCAAATCAATCAATTAGCATTGGCTATGATTGACACGACACCAACGCCGTCGTTTCACGGTCATATATTTTATGGGCTCGCGTTTATGAACGAGACGATTGGAAGAAAATAAAGTGACGCGTAACCCCGACAAATAAAGCCGCCCACGCCCTGCCTTCAAAACGTTCTGAATTGGAGCTGATCGATGCCTCAATGCCTTTTTCCAGTTAGTGATTAAATATTACTCTGTCATTAATATTATTGTTTTTGTGATAACAGACATGAGTGGCCCTGTAAATATTTGTGAACTGCTAAAACTTTAACGGCTGATTGCCATACTGACGAAATACTAATACCGTACAACATATTTCCCATCAAATAAGAAAAAAACCGAGGAAAACTTTATGTAAAAACAGATTAACTCTCAGTTATTATTACAGTCTCACTTTAAAGGATAAGATAGGTAATAAATAATTGAATGAAAACCATTAAATAGTGAGTGAGTGTAAAATAATTAAAACTTTACAAGCGAACGCAAACAGTGTATAACGATCGATAGAATCGCGAAGACCGAAAGTATGCACATAAAGTACAGCCGGTATCCGTGGCGACGCGCCTTCGATCCGATGGTCAATTATTCACCAGAGACGCTAATTTTAGCCGACCACCTATTGACACTAGCGACCATGCAGGTCTTTGCACAGTCCTTTCATACACATAATTGAGATTTTACAACAGTGTAGTAACAATAGCAAGTAACAATGTGGTCATTGGCTAAAATTTATTGTCATAACAGTTGACTAGATTGAATTACTCATCAATAGTTGATATGTGACATAATTTCATCATCATTTAAGCCGTTTTGGTCCACTGCTGAACACAGGCCTCCTCACATAGACCGTCAAAGAGCGCGATCCTGAGCCATCCATCGACCTCTGGTATATTTGCACAGATCGTCACTCCATCTAGTGGGAGTCTTGCAGCGACTTACGCGATGATGTCCCATACGAAGCTATCACTCGAGAACCCCATCGGTCGGTTCTACGAGCTATATGGCCGGCCCATTACTACTTCAGTTTACCACTCTTCTGAGGTATATTGGTACTTTATTTTCTTCTTTTGTGGATATCTGCATTGCGATCTCTATCACGCAGAGAAACACTGAGACGAAATCATTGGCATATCTGATAACTTCATAATATTAAAAACTGTTATACAATATGTTGCTTATTTTTTTGAATAAATAAATTAAGAAAGATTAGGAAACGAAGAATGAATTGTAAATATTTAAAAACGTTTAGTCAAGAAAATTTTATAGCTGACTTTGCAGCTGATTTAGTGAGTTGTTTGCAAAAATATTCGTTTCTCTCCGAATGTGCATTGTATATACTTCGAAGAAGAATCCAATGGGATAGCATTCGAGGTGTGTACGTGCAGTGTGATTTTCAGCTTCAGACGTGCAAGCCCGGCGGTTGGCAGTGCATTGCACTATGCGGTCACGTGTGGACGAATCTAAGGCCGGTGCCAAATTAATTTTACGCGATGCGGTTTTAGTTTGCTAATTATTTTCCGTCCAGTAAGCGGCCGCAGTACGTGACACGGACTACGAATTTAATAAAAGTTGAATTTAGTAAAATGTTCTTGAGTGATAAAAATTATGTTTTTGGAAAAATATTACTTTTGTAAATTAACTAAATGAAGCAATTTTTTATGACTACTATGACTATAATGGTACTAAAATGCATTATTTACGAAAACATAGAAAATAAAATCAATTTGAACATTTTAGAGACATTTGGTAGCTTTGTCTATAGAAAACATGGGATCTGGGAAGTTATATGAATGCCTCTATTAAGAATGCAGACACCTGTACTCACTTGAATTTCTTATGATCTATACAATTTGGGTTAGTTAATGATCTTATCTTGTAATAAGATTAAGAGGTCGTTTATCGAGCTACGAAATATTACGTTGCACCAGTTACCACAAGGACCGTGTCAGGGTCTTCTAAACTGATTCGAACCGGCAAGTTATCAATGTCGCAGCTAAACGGCTGTCGGATATTTCAACCGCATAATAATGACTTCTTTCCATAAAAGCGGTTTGTGGCGGTTCCACCTTATTTTTATTACAAGTCCGAAGTAAATTGGGGCTCTAACGTGTTGGCACTGACAACACCAGAAATTTTCCAAGCGTGTTACCTCCAAAAAAATCTCAATATGTATTTTCATTACACTTGCAATGAGACCTTCATCTGTTGAATATCGTCATATATATTGTATACGTAAATATTAATAATAAGAAGCGATGACCGTTAGACGGAGACGATTCCCATATCTCCTTCGACTTCCAGCCATCGCTGGACGTAGGAGCCAATGGACTGAACCCTGAAGATGTCGGATATTTGGAAAAGTGGAGGAGTTTAACTAGGAAGGCAGACCCTGGCAATAGCCGCGATTAATACCAAATAGAAGAAGAAAGATTCTCGAATGGAGACCACATTAAATGAACGTAAAACTCGATAAACGTAGTATGCAATGTCCCCTGCCAGCTGGACCGATGACCTGAGAAAGGTCGCTGGTAGTGGCTGGATGAGGAAAGTGGAAGATCGTGCACTGTACCGTGCCCTTGGAGGTGATTGATTGACTGATACGAAAATACAATTT